TGTCGATCACTAAAATATATACTATATATAGGGTGATACCCTATATATATATATATATATGCCGTTGACCGTAATTGTTATTCGACTAATTACTAAATACTTAGTATTTAACTATCATTTGACTATCAAGCCCCAATTAGTATAATATCAAGTGCTTATGTAGATTCGGATCACGTCTATGATGTATATTTTTATTTATTGTTGTGGGTATAAAAACAAAAATCAATTAATTTTGCTTGTATATACGCACTTAAACCTTTGGATATGGGTTATTCTTTTTCAATTATTCTGATTCTCTGTTAAAAATCAAATAAAAATGTGTAACAAATATTCGACTTTATGAATACCAATTACCAATTAAAGGGATTGGAGCAACAACCAGATTAATTCACATTTTAACATTTCCCAGGACGATCAAGACAAATATTTATTCCATTTACTATGAAATGGACGGTACAAATGCGTTTTGTAATATCTTTGTATGTAATAGTCGGATTTCACCGTAAGTTGCACCAACATGTAGATAACTTTTCCATGAAAAAACAATTTTTGAAAAAAAAATGGATTCATCTGGTTGCTGTTCCGAGCTCTTCAAAGCTATTAAGTAAACTTAATATTATCATAATTCATACAGTAATATAAGTAATTGCAAGTACTACAAATATAAATACTGCAACAGCATATATATATATATATGTATAAAGTTGGTATAACGAGCCAACATGTAATCTCTCCATCACAGCTTACAGTGTTAATAATAATATATTCGCTTCGGTCGCTCTGGCACTTACACGCACACTTTTTACACGTGTAATTTGATACACACGGTTCGTATATTATAAACGCGCTTACCCTTCTGAGAACGCATAATGAATAATGGTATTGATATTATGCTGTATAAACATCCTATATATTATACATAGAATGCTTGTATTTAAGTATAATAGTAAAATTATAGGACCGTGCAAAATGAGCGGATGAAATTGTATTATTATTTGTATTATTTGCAATTTTTTTTATATATTTTAAAGAAATGGTTTTTATTTTTCTACAGTTTCCCCCTCTGAAAGTCGATGGTGACGTTAAGAGATCGGTTAATACTTAATAGACGTCGAGTAAAGTTTATAGGACCTAGCCTAACTGTATGCGTGTGTACACACTACACTGAACACGTAAATAAACGGGCGAACGAGTCAACAGTTCTTCGAGTTTCGACGCTGTTGGATGCTTTTAACACCTTTATAAATATTTAGTCACACACGTTACACTAAAATATAACGGCACGACACTTTGTTTGTATTTACATGACGTATAAGCCTTTTACACAGAGTAGGTATTAATATGGTAGTCAAACTCGCATTGTCATATTGTAGTAAACACGCGCAACAGTACAATACAAACGGTTGCAACAAATAAGTATAATAATATACGAACACCGTTGACACACATATCCTGTGTTATCGCAGGACGCATGTTTATGTATTTTTCGTACAGTGACACTATTATATAATACATGCAAAAGATTAAAAGTAGTAATATTTTCTTTTGTTTACAATAATAGTAGGTTAATTGTCTCGAATGTCAGTAAATTATGATTGTATATGTTTTAATATATCTTTTTTCATGTAATATCATAATTATTATTATTGTAAACAAGAGAAAATATTATTACTATAATCTTTTGCATGAAACAATTCAAATATTATAACGTAATAAGGGACTGAGATGTAACTAAATATATAAAACAATGGTTAGCCTGTCGGCTTTATTGGAACCGTTAATTGGGTATCGGCTGTCGCAAAATTCGAAAATATATTTTTGTAAATTTCTAAAAGCACTATTACATTGGTTCGGTCGTGGAATTTACTGTAATACATCGTGGTATTTTCATAATTAAACTATTAAATTCCATAGAATATATTATACACACGAACGTCAAATATCCTCGTACAAGTATACCCGGCAAATAGTAAAATACCGTAAATCAGTTTGAGTACATCGATGGCTTAAGTTTTTACAACATGTATATAGCTACAACAATATAGATAATACATTTTTAGAATCAAGTACGTTTTATCTTGGCGAGTACAACGATTATTTCAAGTTGAAACATAATATTATTACAAATTACTTATATTTGGGCTTAAAAAAAAATATATACATGTATACAGGTAATTTATTTCTGAACAAGGCGAGTCAACAATGTCAACAATTAACAGTAGTTTAAAATATGTGTCATCGGTAAATATTTGGCGAGCTTATGAGCAGTCAGATTAAAATTTTAACACGACCGCGCTTATCTTTTAAATGTGTAAGTGAGTAACAACCATTGTTTTACAGAGGATCATGCTTTCAAAGCGTGTTCCTACAGCAATATTCAACATCCATACGTTATAATCATTAACCTGTTAATAAAGTATGCGGAGTCTATACAGAAAGCCAGACTCAACCAACTATATTATGTAGTTATAGAAATCAGATATAATTTTCGTATCCCGGTTAATAATAAAATAATAGATATTATACAAAAGACTTTGTGTATGATATGATTAAAAAAATGTTCCGTACCTTAGTCATTTTAGTGTAAAAGAGGAATCGCTGAATATTAACACAGTTCAGCAAATAAAATAGAATTTAAAACTCTTTAACATTTTATCGTATCACATTTATTTTAGTGATATGTATATTTTATGCAGATGAGTTTCAGATATATCCATGTTACTATTTTTAAGCCGACGTTTCGAACTCTTTGCAGAGTCCATCTTCAAGGCGAGATGATAGTCACGACTGTTAAGCTGTCGTGGCCATACGGCATAACTATACTAACTAATTGGAAAATTCTGATTCGAGTTTTTACATTTTTGTTTGGCTAATAATGATTTTTGTCCGCGGTTATATTAAAATAAAAATGTTCAGTACTTTTCCTTATTAAAAACACAAGTGTTCTACCCGGTCGAGTGTCAAAATAATTGAGATTCCACGATTACATTATATTACCGTACTATTATCTTGATTATATCTATTACATTAGCGCATATGATTGTCACATGATATTATGTATATAGTATAATATGTGGCCGACGGCGTTGTGACAACAAGTGTGTGTGTGTGGCCAAGTGTAAGTATGTCGGAAATTGATGACGGGTCCCCGGTGTACTGTGCACACAATATTTTATATAATTAATGATGATACACACACACACACACACACACACACGGCGAACGCTGGCGGTACTGCGTTTTCCTTTCCCTAACGCGATCCATTGTGCAGTAAGCGTGCACACACACAATATGCACACACTCTCATAAAAGATTGTTTCACGGTAAAGGGTTTACGGTCGGGGTATTATCGGAGCTACAGGGATTATGTGCCTCTAACGACCCCTGCGGCTTCGCTGTATCGCCGACATGCCGCACACGCACTGCACACACGGGTGGCAAAAACAGGGTAAATGAACATTCGCCGACACGGCCGCGGTGGACGGATGGCGGGGATTTTAATAATAGTCGGCTAATTCGACGGACCCTGGTCCCTGCCATTTATTTGCTAATCCTCCAGACCGCTGTTATTGCGTTGTTAGTCTTTCTCCCTCTGTACATCCCCCGTTTCTCCCCGGGGCGGCCACTGCCATATCACCGACCTGCAGCGCTGCTCTTTTTCCACTTTTGTCTACCATATTGTGTTTATACACTATTGCGTTATACACGCATTGTGGCTGAACGGACGCACAATAAATACAGAAGGGCGGCACTCGTGTGTCGGAGAATATCCCCAATCCTTCGATTTCGGTAATGTGCGTTGAACATTTCATTATTAACTCTATGTAAATTTAAATGCACGGGGGGAGGTGATGGAAAATACCTCGAATTATACGGTTTTATATAACAATTGGCACGGCCAATGTTATCGCTACCCTTACCCTTGTTTAAAATCAAAACAGTCCATCTGGCTCTATAAGATTGCCATTCAAAGTACAAACAGTTTTTATTTATTGTTTATTAATATATATATACACAGTACGACCAAAGATACAAGTCAATATACAATTTAAAAAAACCTTATTATTAATTAGGACTTTAAAATAATGTTTAATAGTCTACAGTGTAAATAAGTGGTGGCGGTCCTGCACATAGAAAGACATGCAAGTTAAAACGACATATTTGACATCAAACCGATTCAAATGATACTAAAATTATTTTATATACATAGGGACTATGGTCCCGAAGCCCTATAATATTCGAATAACAAATTATTTGAAGAAATATTTTTGAAATTATTCGAATAACTTTTACTTAGATAATGTGTTATCTAGATGATTATTTAGATAACGGTTCCCTCCCAAGTTGGCGGTTACTTGGGGAAAAAAAGATGATTATTTAGATAACGTTTTATTCGAATGATTCACAACTCTGCTTACAAATACTTCAACTCATTTTTTTAAATCTCCTGACAACATTAATATTATAAGCTTGTTGATGATTAAAATGGATCACCTTGCCCTTGGGTAATTTAGAGAAGTATTTTATTATGTCTGGGAAAAGAATAAAAATTATACAACAACAAACATTTAAATAATGATAATTAATTTCAGAACAAAATAAAAAAATCATAATTCGATAAGCTTTTTATGGATTTATTACAAACATATTTTTCAAATTCAACAAATACATCAACATGTCGTTTAAAGCAGATTACCTCTTGTGATACTGACATGATAGTTTTGAATCAATTTTGTAAGCGAAATAATTGAAGTGCTAAGAATTACACTCGGCGTTATATTTTTTAAGCGTAGTTACAGTTACAATTATTACAGAATAACATTATGTCTAACACAGTTCTAAAGAGTTATTTGTTATAATGATAGTATACTCCAAGTCTATCTAAATTCAAAAACAAATTACTAATTGTAACTCACCATTCAATATAAACACTTTTTTTATGTAAGACTAATAAAAATAAAATAATAATGTAATCAGAAAAATATATAATTATATAAAATAAAATATTTCGATATGTACTAGATTAGGTACGGATATAGAATTTTTTTTTTTTGTATTGACTAAAATATTTTATTTACAATCTGTACGGTATATACACTGTGCACAATCAGTAAATTTGATGAATTATATAAATCCATCGATGCCACCCCTACAAGTTTAGCTAGTTGTTTGTATTTTTCGATGTAGAAAATGTGTATTAAATACCGAGCGGTTACAACCGCTGTATTATTGAAACAAAATACACTGTGTAACTACTGCATCGGATCTAATAAATAATACGGTACAATTAAAATTTACCGTATAACTAGTATAACAAACAAATACCGCAAAACTATTTAAATGTTGTTAACTCAGTCGTTTTAATCCTTTTTGCGTTGGCGATTTCAGCAGCATACCTACCTACAATATGGTATGGTTGCTCTGTAGTCCATTAATTGTTCTTTGTACCTACATTTCGGTAGTGATGGAACGAGTTGTTTAAAACTAACGGAATAACACTAAATTGCTGAATAATTGTTCAAACCGAACGTTTAACACAATTATAAATAAAATGAACACGAGATGGATATTAATCGTACAACGTTGTTCATTCTTCGCTTGAACATCATTTTAGTACCGCTCAAGACCACCTTGTCGAAAGACTCAATACCTATTTCCGGCCCGCACACCGTGACTGGCCGGACACATTATATATTTTATAATAATATTTATAATCAATGGTTGTATTATATTACTATTATGATGACGTGGGTTAATTAATCGGAAACATAATGGAAAAAAGATGTTGGAGTTGTCGTCGATTGTGCATACATTATAATATTATAACTAACGATTGAGCAACCTAACCGAAGAAATTAATTTATTATTTGTTAACACGATGTAAACGTACGTACTACAGTAACAATATAATATGCGACAAATTTAATACATGATTAAAATTACAACAAGTTTTGAATGTGTTATGTGCGACGGATAAATATGATTCTTCTACTGGTTGACGAGTTTATCCCCCCCTCTCTCGTGAAATCTCCTGTGTTGTATTATACAAGGGTTGTCTATTAAATATGAGTGCGTGTGTACACAGAGCTGTATTGATTAACGAGACCATTTTGCTTTTATTGTCCCCGCTCGGACCCAGAGCGAAGTTCGTACTTAATCCGGCTAATCACGTTTCGGAAGGAGGTATGACTTTGTAGGGATTCAGTATGCACTTGGGGTCCATAGTGTGTTTTAGACTTTGCATCAGACCAAGGGCCTTGCCGTTCTTAGTGCGTTCGAGGTAATTCCTTTTTATGTAGCCAATCCCGTGCTCAGCACTAATGCTCCCCCGGCACTCGGACGTCCATCCGTAAACAAACGGCTCGATGATTCCCGACAACTCCTTGTTGTACTCCCTCGTGGCCACGTTCAGATGCAAATTACCGTCACCTGCAATTTTTCCAAAGGTTTTTGTTGTAAAAAAAAACCCTCTCAATGTTTAAAAAGGTATTGTCGCGGCGTCCAAACGACAACCGATGATACCATTTTATTCTTTCACATTTATTTTACAATCGAAGTTGGAAATTATTCGGCCGTAAAAATTATTTATATTTCAATAAACCATTGATAATATTATTTTAATGAAAATAATTCCAAAACTTGTATTTGAATTTTTTGAAAATACATTTTTTATACGTTTTTTTTAATTAGTAGGTATACATTGTTTACAATTTTAAGTCATAAGTGATACTTAATTGAAATCGATTTGCCTAACTTGAGATACTCTTCAGCATGGGCGAGTATTAGGAATAAAGGCTTGGAAAAGACTAATACTTACCGAAAAAATATTTCTTTTTAAATAAAAAAATACATAAAAAATCGTTTGGGAACCCAGGCTGTATTGATCATAACCATTTTTTGTTGGCTATTTGAATATTAGAGAGTAATTTTAAACCCCTTTCCAAAATCCCATGTACAAAAATATAAATTTTTGGAATACTTATGTAAGTTGTAAAAGAACGACAAATTTATTAATCAAAAATAGCCAATAGATTTAGGGAAAACAACATGACAATAGGAGACATTGAGACAACCTGGACAAAGATAAAAAATACAGTGTCAAGAGCTGCGAAAACTTTACAGGAGATGTCAGAAAATATAGAAATTACTGGTTTGATATTGGGACGAAATCCAAGACATAATTAACTCATTAAAAAACAACAAATCACCAGGAGGAGGATAACATAAATTAAAAACTGCTTAAGTTAGCAGGAGCACCTTTAGTATCACATAACAACAACTAATTATAAGTATATGGAATAATGAGGTTATCCCAAAAGACTGGAACTTAGCGATTATCTGGCCAATATTTAAGAAGGGTAATCCAGCAAAGGTCGAAACCTACCGCCTTGGTAGTACCAATATGTTATCTTTAGCAATCTTGACAAATTTAGAAGTATACGTCACTGATATCATTTGAGAATATCAATGCGGCTTCATGAGAGGGAAATCGACTACAGACCATATCTTCACTATACGTCAAATTATGGCGAAATATTATGAATATGGTCAAAATGGTATATACGGTCTATACTTTTTAACCTCGCACTAGAAAAAAATAGTTAGACACACAGAAGCTAGTCATGAGCTGGAGCTGAATGGAAAAACTGCCTGAATACTGGCCTATGCAAACGACATTATAATACTGGAAGACACCAAAAATGAAATAATATGTACTACAGAAAGTTTAATCAATTCTAGTAAAAAAAAATGGGCTTTAGCATAAATGAAGACAAAACTAAATATTTATAGTAATGTCCAGAGATGTGGCAAACATATCTAATCTCAAAGTAGGAGCATATTGCTTTGAACGAGTAAATAATTTTAAATACCTGGGTGTTAATATCAATGATAAAAATAATATGCATAATGAGATACAACTGAGGATAAGTGCGGCAAACCGAGCATACTTTGACATGAACAAAATGCTGAGCTCCAAAATGCTATCAAAAACCACTATAGAAAAACTCTACACTTGTTACTTACGTTCAGTAGCAATGTATGCTCGCGAAATTTGGTCCACTACCAAAAGGGACGAAGAAAAACTACTAACATTCGAAAGGAAAGTTTTGCGGAAAATACATGGATCCACACAAAATCTATATGGAGAATATGAAAGAAGAAAAAACACGAATTTAGAAAAACTGTACAACAAACCAAACATTGGAAAGTATCTTAAGGCAAAGCGACTGCAGTGGGCTGGTCACGTTTGACGAGCTGACGGAAGCCGTATTCGTAATGTATTAGTTAAGAAAATAAACAAAAAGCGACTAAGAGAGAGACCCCGCCAACGGTGGATAGATAGAGTAGTTAAGACATAAAATAAAGCGGACGACGGGATAACGACGGAAATGGCAAAAAATCGTGACAGATGGAAAGGCTTGGTAGAAGCGTGCATAAGGTCTGTTAAGCACAAAGAAATGTAAGATGTATTATGGGTAGTTCTCGTTTATTGTGCAGATTAAAATAAGACTTACCAATGTGACCGAAGCCGCATACGGCTTTGCAGTCGGCTACGTCTTTCAACTTGTCTCGCAACAGTTCTACTATGTCGTAGAAACAATTGAGCGGCGTGGATATGTCATAGGCATAAACGTATCCGTACTTCATTAGGGCTTCTATGGATCTCTCGCGCACTTTCCATATTTTCTAAACGGAGTAAAAAAAAACCAACAACAAATAATCGTCAGTATATATATATGTATATATTTTCGGAAAACACCCTTACGTTGATAGTGGACGTTTGGTCGGCGGTCGTGGCGTCGGTGATTATCGAATCGTCTAACGCTTTTTCCAGTATATTTTCCAAGTGGCGGTTCAGATTTGGCTGGCTGGTAGCCAGTTCGATTAGCACGTAGAACGGATGTACGTTGGCGATAGGACAACCGAGTTTGAGGTTATCTTCTACAGCGGTTATTGTTGTGTTGTCCATGAGTTCGAAAGACGACAGCGTTTCGGCGAACTCCTGCCGGGCGATCGAAAACAGTTTTAGTACTTTTTCGTAGCTGTCCAAACCTGTACACATACAAGCGGGAGGTAAAAAAAAGTAGTAAAAACGGCCGAGATTTACGCATTGTACCTACGCGACGGTCAAATAAGAAACATTTAAAGGCGTCGTATACTCAGAAAAGCGGTAAATTTCATGCCCTTCGTACCGCGTACAAATCCCCAGTGTGCGAGGTCCTAACGCCAACGAGACAAAGTACGTGGACTTATTTCCTTTAATTAAAAATTTAACGAGGAAACATATAGTAATCGTCAAGCTCGTTCGATCTTTTATTTTATTAGAAATATAGAATGTTCAAAACAATTTCATACAATCAATAGTGTTATTATTTTTTCTGCGTTGCATGATTTAACCAGAACGAAACACAAGCTCTTGAATTAACTAATAATCCGCAGTCGAATAGATACTGGCTAATCGCCATAATGGTCAAAAGCTACTGTAAGAAACCTCTTTACCGCATAACTTTTTGTTTCATCAAAAATATTTATTTTAAAAGTGGTAAGAATTGATTATTCCCGTTATTATTATAAAACAATTTGTGTTCTAAAAAAAAGTATTTGTTGTTGAGATAAATTTCAAAAAAAAATGTTTACACTAAAAACAATGGGTTATTAACAATGTGTGCTTTTTTAGAATGTCTGTTATTCATAAATTATATTTTGGTAATAAAAAGGAGATAAATGTTGATTTGTTTTAGTTGTTCGTGTCAAGTATATAAGATAACAACAATTTGCGTAACTACACCACAGTGTTATTATTTTAAAGCTATATCCAAAACAATTACTTGGTGCTAAAAGTATATTTATTTGCGAAACAAATGATAATTTTAGAATACTTTTCTCTCACCTATAAAAGCCACACTGATGTGTTTGGGAAGAATTGGGCAGAGGATGGCTACTTTGGTGACTACGCCCAACGTTCCTTCTGAACCGATAAACAAATGTTTCAAATGATATCCTGTGTTGTCTTTTCTCATGGTATTCAGGCAGTCTAGTACCGAGCCGTCAGCGGTTACCTATGAAAATAGTAGAAGTTTTTTATTACACAGAATGTTGTTATTATTACTTTGTTGGTTTTTTTGCATTAATGTGTTTCCAAATGGCAAATTCCCATGTTCTACTTCCTCGTGGCGTTGAACAGCAGAAACAAAATTATCAACTAACAAGTTTCTCGGTGTTGCCTTAGTGTGGATGGGCTTTTTTATTTAATACAACATTATTTTACAAAGGCAAATTATCAACAATTTCAGTACATTCTATTTGGAAACAATTTAATTATTCACCGTGGATTTAAGGAATTAACGTTAAAACAAATCTAAGCGGGAACAGGTCATTAATTATTATCGCAATTACACATACAGAGAACTGCTGCACGCGAGCAGGGGGTTGTCGGTTTGTACACGGCTTTGTGTTTAATTAAGAAAGGCGCCACGTTGGGGTTATTTGGTCAATTTAGTACTGTAAAGAGAAACGCAAACGAGTCCAATATATTATTTAAAAAAAAAAAAAAAGAGGGCCCAGAAGTTTCGTTAGATTAGGTACTAAAGAGGAGGGTAGAAAAAGGACAACTCGGAAACACTGATTTGATTAAAAAAAAATAGGGAAAAAATAATAATAATAAATTTACTGAATCGAACGTTTTCGGGAGAACAGTTTGTGAGCCCGGTGACAGAAGCAATTATAGGGGAGCGTTGGCAGCTTTGCAGGCGGCGGGTATGGGATTAAAGTGGTAGAAGGCGGAGAGGTGCAGGGTAGATTGCGGAAAACCGTACGCACGTACCAAATCGATTTTTTACAGGGGAAAATACCTAATTAAGCGTGAGCGAGACCCAGAAGACTTTCCCCGCCCGTTAAACGTTTATTAGCTTGTTTGTGAAAATCGAATTTTCATAAAAAAAAAGTTAGCACAGTATAGGGTCAGGGCTGTCATTGATTTAAAGACGGTAATAAATTTAACAAAATTACTTTGGAAAAGGCGGGTTGTGTTAATCGAGAAAGAAATGTGTTGCATTAACAACAGTTTGGTTGCCTCCGTAACAACCAGATTTTGTAGTTGACCCCCAAATTACCTTTCTATCAAATAAATATGTAGTCAAGAGAACTTTAATTTTGTTGAATTAACTAATAAATATGTTAAAAATAACCAATATTCAGTTAATATAACTACAAAGTCACAGAGCCAACCAATTTCTTGTTAATGCTACAAAATGTTTTTTTCCATACAGCCTAAACCACACAGCAGTTGTCTTTGTTATTTTGTGTAGGGGAGATAATATTATTTTTAAATAATTTTATACGTGCAAATGTGTCGGAACGATTATTTGGAAAGAATTTTGTTTTTTTTCCTCTGCTGTCACTTTTTAACGTCAATACTCAATATTGTATTATTATTATTATTATTATGATACGCACACACACACATGTTCATGTACACAAGATGAACATTTCGATAGTTTTTTTTCCGGTTGGGTTACGCATCAAACACTCATTTTTCCCATAACGCAGTCAATGGAACAAAACACACAGACCGCAAATGGGCTTAACGAACTGTTGTTAAAGTCGTACCTCTACCCCAAGTATTTTTTCAAAAATCCTTTATCCCCTATCTTTCTCTATATCCTTGCCCTTCGGCCACCCTGTGTATACCGCTTGTTGATAATACCGTACTATAATACCATTAGGTACGTGCAATCGTCAACTCACGGCTTCAAGTCCCAGAACGCACCCCTGCAGAGTGCCGTACCGTATGACTCGTATGCCGCCAGCATTGGTAGACACGTTGCCGCCGATCTGACAGCTGCCCTTCGATCCTAAGTCCAGCGGCATCATGAACCCGTGACTCTCCACGTGCCCCATCAGCGATTCGAGCACGCATCCCGCTTCGCACACCAACACTCCTGTCGATCACAATAATACATATTGGCATTGTATATATTATCACAACAATTATATGTTAACATTAGAGCGGTCATTACATATTTAAAATATCTCATAACAGCTCATGACTCATCCTACGACTAGCACAATAATTGTTTATCCACCGCCTTGGTGATAAGAACATTATAATTGTTGCCTAGGAGATAGGCGAAATTCCAATTTTTTCAATAAGGACGGAAAGTTTTTAGTTCTCACTAGTTTTTAAATTCACATTTTTTTTTTTTTTTTTTTAAATACAGATCCAATGAGGGGGAGCATTGTAAAAAAATTCACACTGTAAACGGGAGAAAACAGTAAGCACTCAATCAGTAGGTATATGAATTTTACAGAAGAGGCGGTGTATAATTTATAGATATTGGTGCTAAGCTGTATCTGAAAAATGTATAGCAATAATGATGTTCGGTCGTCCACTATACCGCAAGTAAATTATTAAGAAGAGAATCAATTTATAAACTCATTTAAACGTAGTAACTAACTTTTATAGGCGACGTTCTTTGGTAAAATGTACTATTAAACAAAACGTGGCTTTTTTGGTGACTGTAATAGAATAATTTACAGTATGAAAGTTATGAACTTTAACCACATATAAAATGAACTCAAGTTAATTCGAAGTAGTCAAAATGCATGATAGCACTGCAATTACTAAGGCATTTTGTTTTTTCCTTTTTAATAACTCAACCTATTACCTTGGTTCATTAGACACTCGTTTTCCGGAATAAAATTACAACTGTAAAGGTTTTTTTAAAAATATTTTATTGACGTTATAAGTTATTGTACAATATTTTTAAATTACCAAATATTAACCTTTTAAGTATTTTCCTGAGCACTATCAACTTTTGAAATTTAAATGAAAAATTACATGTTTAATTAACTTTTTAACTACGTTAAATGGATCACCCTGTACATACAATTATACAAACATTTAATCATCATCATAATTATCGCTAAATTATCATCATCGTATTTGTGTGTTCACGAGCGTAGTAATATCCCACTGACCACTCCGGCACCGTGTAAATCATTTTTATATATTTTATACATGCAAACGAAACTGTGTAATTATTTTATTAACCGACCGAAACAATTAAAAACCGGTATGCTTTATGACCCCCTTCTATACCATATGATATTAATTTAAGTATATATTATATAATAATTGGTCCATCTATAATCTAATATTAGCATTGGCGTTAATAATGAACGCTATCATTACTTTTTATAATCAACGGAAAGTAATAATATTATATTACTCGTCTGCGCTATATAATGGTTGAAGATATCTATAGAATATGCTACATTATAACGTGTAGACAGTTGTGTATGCCAAACTATTCGAGTTTAATGGAACTCTCCAAATGGGAAAATAACATAGCTCCGGGCTTTGTTTGTTTGAACACAACCAAATATTGCGAATTAACTGTCTACATTTGACCTGGGAAATAGGTAGCAAACAGCTCGCGGTTTATTCTACTACTCACTGGCCAAAACCTAGGCTTGTATTGTAGTTAATTATTATTGTTGTTGTTCTACGGCGGCGGTTTTGTTAAAAAGAGGACAGCACCGCTGAAGGCAGGGTAATGGATACTAAGGGCGCAGGTGATGGAGAAGAATGCATTTTTATACGATTATTTAATTATAAAACGCGATATAGGCGTGTTGTTATGTACACTTACCGGACAGGGGATTGAAATCAATGATGTTGTTCATTCTTTGCATGGACAAGACCACCTCGTCGAACAACGCTACGCTGCCCCCGGATATGCTGGTATTGCCCGCCTGGGGGCATACCGCTATCATTTTGTCGTTACAATACTCTAATATAGCCGACACATCCTCTGTAGTTTTTGGCTTTAACACCGTCCGGCTCTCCCCTGCAATCATATAATAATATAAAATGACAAGTATGCTTAATGTGTGTAAAAAAAACCCATTAAAAAAATGTGTCAATCCAACACAAAACAACCAATAAATCGGTCTTGTAACGCTTCTTCCTCTTAACGTGTAGTACAAGACCAACACGTTATAAAAAACGTCTTTGCAGTCTGCACAACAAGTAAAATCACGTATACGATCGTCGTTACTATGTATTACAGTACATATTATGCATATTACACTGCGCCGCGCCGGTGGCAAAGAAAAAACATATGTTTCGATGAATGTTAACATATTTCAGTGACTGTTACCATATATTAGCTAATTTGGTAAATTATAGTTTACCTACATCGAATCCTTCAAGAATTTGAAGGACCTGAAGGTTAAAATAAAATGGTGACAATTTTGCAATGTGCATGTACTTAATATCTATGTAGGCAATTTTACTGATACATATATACAATGTTATTTTCTATAGATGTTTATAGTAAAGACATTAGTCCATTCCAAATCGTATCTCAGTTGACTTTTTCTTTAAAAAAATGTAGCTAAATTTAATATACATATATACGATTTTTTGTGGAATTATTTTACAACAGAACCTTGACCCACTAATACTTTGTGACGGCGCATTGCTCAAAACTGCGTGTAAAGAAGATACTGGAAATTATATATATTTTAAGCTACTACCTTAACAGTAAAGGGAGGAGAGGATGAAACAGTATATTATATCCCACGGATGCCACTCATTCCGATGGATCACCCATCTAACTTTAAAGACTGTTATTTTCAGTGAAACTTGCGTTCTTGATCACAATCGAAAAGTCACAGGGGCAGTTTTTTAAGTACTGTGGAGTGGATTTGAGATCGCCATGTTTATCACACGGACAATTTTGTTGCTTTCTAAAAAGGGGTTCATCAAAAAATGTATTTGTTCCTGCTCCTGGTGATAAAACTAAAAATATTTTTTATAATCAAGTTTTGAGTTAAATAATTGTATTATTAATATTTACTTCATAAATTGCAAACTGTTCTTGTACTAAAGATTTAGGATTACCAGACACGGCGCCAGAATTTTTTTCTTAGGGGGGCGGGAAAGGTCAAGTGAATTTTTTGGAGGGGCAACCACAATAATTTTACCTACTTCTGTCAATAAAAAACAATTATAATGATTTATCAGTGAATGACTTTAATATTTATAAGTGAAATAGTATAAAATATGAATTTATTACAGATTAAGAGCCAATATATACTAGTGTACAATTTAAGTAAGGCAACTTTTTTAAATAAGCGTTATTTTTACCTGTCGGCCATCATATAGCTCTTATTGTACTCTATGAAAATCGAAGTAAAAATGAAGGCTTATAAAACGCCCAACAACCAGTCAGTGGAGATTATAGTTATCGTGTTATACCTACATTCTATTAAACCAAAACAATCCGTCAATAAACACTGAATTTTTGGAAAACACACACACAAACGTAAATATTATAATTATATATATATATATATATATATACACCAAAACACATAATTATATGGGCGACGGATTATTGATAACCGATTGCAAAAACACTCAAAATATAATGATAAAAATAGGCCACATTTGGTGGCAATGTCATAACTAATAACTAAATTTGTATAGATAAACAGGTTTAAATCAAAACAACAATTGTTTTCACAATTTCCGTAATAACTAAATTTGTATATATAAAAATACAGTTATTTAAAATCTGGGTTTTAGGAATAATAATCAAATATTTAAAATTATACTATTTAGCAAAATATCTGGGGGGGCGAGAGAAGGGCAAGAATTTGTTATGAGGGGGCGACCGCCCACCCTCGCCCCCCCTTGGCGCCGTCCCTGAGGATTACCATGTCACACTGACAAAAAAATACTGTTCTAAAGTTATAACAAGTTTTCAAGGCCAACGTTGCTAAAACATTGATAACAATTTCAGAAAAACAAGTGCCATTGTAATTAATTGCGGTACCTATTGTTGTGTGAAGTGATTATGATTTACAGTTACGTTTACCATGTCTCTTTCAAGTTTGAAGTGCAAGAGAAAAAAAGACCATTTTTTAAATTTCGGATATCTGATTGAAGATGGTTAATTACATTGATGGAGTTCATATTTTGGAAGAAATGTTCAGTAAAGCCTGAGCATGCAGTTATGAACTTAATAATTGTGAAAGCAAAAAATGTATGAGCGATAAGGAGAAATATATTATCTCTCAATTTATTTCTATTCGGCTGCTTAAAATAAATATTAGGGCAACGCGTCGGGAGAAGAACTCCGTCTTTTGCGTGCACTTTCCAGTATCCAAATAATCATTTGTGCCAAGTTCGATCAAAATAAGTGCTTCGTTTAGATACCTCTGATGAACATACACAGATACGCGGGTACCTACACTATTTTACAACAAAAAAAAGGAATACAAACGGTTTTTTTTGAATCCAGAAGCTTTACCGACCGACTTGTATTATTAAGTCGGCGAGTCCCCCCCCTTGTGTATCCCGATGGAGAGAAGCGGGCCGGCATTAGGGCACAACAGGCTTACCGGACATGTACTTCATCCAGTCCACGTTGTATGGTTGCACGTCCTGGTCTCCGGTCAACACGTTACCTTCGCCTAATATTGATTTAAAGTGTTGGACATCGGCGGACGTGACCTTTGCGTAATTTCCACGCGTAGTCCGCACATTGTTTATGACTTTAGTGCCGAATCGTCGGACGTGTTTAGCCAGCGGACGCGACAGCCGCTCAATCGAAAACGACGACATAATACTGTTATTATTTCTGCTGTTTACCACTATTTTACTGTTTACTGGCTTCCGAACGATAGTTCATTAAATAGAAAGAAAAAAACGCAACCGAAAATTCGTAATAAATAAATTAAACGTACGCGCAACTTGTACAACGACCGGTTGCCATTGACCGACTGATCGTGTACGGCTATCAAAAAAGCGAGACAATAATCTATAAGCGCACACGGGCCGGTGTTAAGAACGATAATAATTATTATTCGTTTATTATTTACAATGTGTACGCTCCTTATCGCAGTCGCTGTATACTTTAATATGTGCGATAGTAGACACGTGTTGCCAACTACGAACGCGGCCGGATTAGTTCATTGTAATATTATATTTTATTTATAATATTATGTAAATCGGTGGTTTGTTTGGTCCATCACAATTGTTTTTTTATATCAACGACGAGTGTCGAAAACAAAGGTATAATTGTCAATAATATGATGTCATATTTTAATTATAAACTTACTATTGTTACATATTATAATATGTAAAGAAGGGACAAGGTCGTTTAACGTCATCATTATACTTGTTGATCTTACCATCAATGACCGATATATTATAACATAGTATTTTGATTTTGTCGTTCCGCAGTGTGTACAGCAACAAGCGACCTTATAGCTGTTGTTTATCAGTGCCAGAAAAATAATAACAATATTATTGGACAGTGAATGTATCATTGCAAATAAGATATCATTAAACTATAGAACTGTCAAAAAGTATATTATAGGTAACCAAATAGAAGTATAGATGGTGACTCAGATGGTGAATAATAAGTACTTATATGGAATAGTTCTATCTCAGTTACTTACTTCGCTCATGTGTGTTTGTTCTACGTATTGCAAGTTGATAGTTATATAAAGACGTATAATAAATAGTTTTTTTATTCGTGGATACAATTTTATGTAACTCAATAAATTAAGATATTAAGTTTATTTATTAATTATAAATACAAATTATCTCAGATAATTTCAAATTATTTAAAATATGTTGAATAAGAAATAAAAAAAAAGATCATCTAGATTAAAAACTTTTTGAAAAATGTCTAAATTATTGATTAATAGTGTAGGTTTTTTCAATAAAAAAAACCTCATCATAACATATACATTTGGAACAAAAACAATTGGTCTTTCATACTTTTTTTTTTAATAGTTAAACACAAAATCAATAATTCTGATTTTGACTCATAGTTTACTTATCATTTGTTACTTAACTCTACAAGTAATTTTATTTTTAATTTATACAATTATTTACTGACTTCGCTAGTCTTTTATAAACTGACTAGCATACTTTTACTTGTAATTTATTTTTAGTACTTAAATATCGATAGATTAATAAAAAATCTAGCTAGAATGTGTTTGTTCTAGCGCCGACTCATTGATTTTGTGCCTCCCGGGCTCAACTATAGTAAAAAAAACAATTTATATCAATTTGCTGTAAAAACGCATTGGTACAGATAAATCAATCGGCTAGGTTAGATAAAACCGGCCAAGACTGAATTTGATAAGTCTTAAATGCAACCAATAAAATGTTTAGGATAAAAAAAAAGTATACTACAATATAAATTGTAACACTAAAAAGTTTACTTTTTTTTAAGTACTTATTCAACGCATTTGGTACAAAACTGTTAAACTGTTAAAGAAAGATTTTAGTTATTGAGAATTGCTCTTGCAAATAAAGCGCTACAATCCCTAAATAAAAATTTGAATTAATTAGATATTTAAATGTTTAAATAAATACAATACATTATGAAATATGCTTTATAGTTTTTGAGTAACCAAAGTCGGCTTTAACTACTCATTATTGCGAGCCATTATATTTTCCAATGAAGGCTATTATAAAAAAAAAACAACTCATTATACACCTATAAGTAGCTATTAATTACAATAAACAAAATTCGAGTTTTCAATGAAGACGTGTTGATAATCTTACCTTAGATTTCTCAGAGGGTTCTTGATCCCGTTCACCTGAGACTACCAACAAATAATTGCAAGTAATTTCATTGGTTTATGCCTTAGAGAAAACACAAATGGACCCTATTTTGAAATGGCGATATACGAGCATACTATCTTGTACCTACCTACACATTAAACTTGGACGTGATAAGAGAAAACATATATTCGCGGGTTTATATTGGGATTATACTTCTGACAAGTATATGATTTGATATGGGGGAAACATTGGATGACTATATTTTGAGTGGGACAAAATTTCTAAATATTTAATCAGAACATTATATTATTCCTTTGTCGCGGTATTGTATTGTGTAAATAGCACCGACCTTTGAACGTGGCAAAGTCTACAAAGTCAACGTTAATAGAGGAGGTACGACAAAATGGTGGTCGTAACTTTTGCCACAGCACCGGTTGTAATTGAATTTAAAACATTTTCCGTTTGCGCTTTCGCTTAGTAACCGTTATAAAAAGATATTTATTTAAAAGCTGTACATATACATGACGTTAACAAAAGAAAAGCCGCGTTCAAGTATCGCAGACTCATCGAGATTTCCTTCTGGTCACGTGGACTGTTTGAAACAAAAAAATTAAATTAACAACTAACTCGATTGTTCGTCTCAATTGGCTTGTCTCGGCAACGGCACAGTTTTTACCCACTTCGGAGGATCAGAAGGAGGAAGAAACTAACAAATAAGTAAATCTTTCCGAATAATTGAGGAAAAAAATAAATACGAACCTGTACTTGCTAAAATTGCATTTTGGTTCTTTATTTGCAGTAGTTGGGTTGCTAACATTGGCACTATGTATCTTATAGCTACATTTTTTAACAAACGTTTGCCAACCTGTGTATTGAAAATATTACTCAACTATTTCGAAAGCATACATCCATTGTAATTTGTGCAGTAAAATACATTCACGTGGTTAATCGAATCGCTGTTTGATGATTAAAACCTAATATGTGCGGCCCGGGCTGATATTATCGAAGATAATTAATTATAGTAGTTAGTAGCTATTGCCCGTGAATGCTTATACTTGTATAAACCATCTGCGACGCAAAGAGATAATAGATTTGCGATGCTCCAAGTGCGGTACAGCCTATAGCGGGAAATCCGGTAGGCGATTGGGTTGCACGTTCGTTCTTTATACTTACAATCCTCGTAAGGCGACCGGTGAGTAATGGTTTTTCTGCAAGTATCATATTTCACGCTCTTTTCTCGCCTTTGCGCGCGTTAATAGAAAAGTCCCCTCGGCGCGACGACCGCATAAAACTATACACCCGGGCGTTTCTATACATGTTAACTCAACTTGTACTGCCATGTAGTAAAATAATGCATTGATTGATCGATAGGCGACAGCTCTACTAGATTGAGTTTTTAAGAAACAATTTTGTCCGGATTTTAGATAAGCCATCAGAACTACCTTCTTCTTGTTTATTACCAAACCAACATCGTCTTATTCGTTCCATATCAAAACGTTATACTTATTATTTTGGCTCCTTTTGGTTTAAATCAGCTTAGCATTAAAATCAAAACTGCCTTATATTGTTCACTTAAAGCAATTAGAACAAAAAGGGTAAAAGAATATTTTTTCAAAAACAATTTTTCGATCATACAATAGTTGTCAAAAAATAAAAACTTGTTCTAACTTCTTTCTGTGTTTGGTTAACATAATTTCATAAATTTTTTAATAAAACTAATAAACTCTAAATCACCAAAAATGTACATAGACAAATTTAATTTGATTTTGCTTTTCTGTAATATTGTATTAAAATAAATAATAAGTAAATAATATAATTGTGTACCTACTATTTATAACAAAATACATAAAATGTTATTATTAAAAAATAATTTTCGGAAAAATCGCTTAGGTACTTAAATTCCCTAAAATTCTTTTATGCATGCCGCAACTACTTTGACAAAATGTGTTCCGATAAGACAGTCGACAGAAAACAAATATTAAATTATCATACTAATATTTCCTACAGTACATAAAAAACGTAAAAAACATAATTCGTAATATTTATCTGAAATAGTTATTTTTCATGTGCAAAATTAAAAGTTATTAATCAAAAGTAATTTTGAAAATATGGAAAATAGAATAAACAGAGGATTCTATTGCGGAGAATAAATGTTTAGCTAAGAAAGCGCACAGTTAAGTTATTGAATATATATGTAGCTAAAAAAAATATAGCGTTGCCATTTAAAAGGGCTTACTTAACAGACAAATACTGTAGTAAGTGGCTAAATGTGTGTCTTAATATATATATACAACAAGACATGTTGACAAGGTTTGTACAGTAATTTAGTGCTATGTTCATTTGTTGACGCGGTCGCATGTATATAATACTTTGATATCGTTTGTGACTTATGTAACCGATTGACACTGTCAATTGGACAGTCGATAATAATTGTGAGTTAAGGACTAGTGGTCGCATAAAAAAGTAAACGTGAAAAAACGCTGTATTGTTTTTTTTTACTTCAAAATGTTGGTAACTTTAACGCTTTTCATACGAGTTATTTTTTTTTAAATGTGTTATTATTACAATCTTATGACAGAATTTCGCGTCCTAATGCAATATTTATTACTCTACTAGCCCGTGTGTGCAAAGCGGAAACACGTGTTTTCGACATCAAAAACCAAGCTGCCGTTTCCGTTTAGTGAAATACAATGTTAAAACTGTCGACTTGTAATGTTATATGTTAGTTGACTGTGTGTGTGTGTGTTTACAAGAAACACTGCGTCTTGCTAATTTAAGGCCAACAGTAAAACCACAATAAAATTATAGAGCGTTATATTACATTATAAACTCTGGTTGTTATTATTATGCAGCCACAAGTAATTTATATAATTACGAGGCTAATTAAAAAGTTCCTACCTACTCAAAACAAATGATTAGTAAATAGCCCGGACGGTCATGAATTATTTTTAGCAATTAAAGGTTCCGTGTGGCCATATTGTACAAGGAATAAACAATTTGACAATCCGATTATAAGGCGACGCGACGGTCATGTAAAAGTATTAAGAATAGACGGTAAAACGTTATTTAATTAGGGAATTGATTAACAATACATAATACATAATACGTTTTTTAAGTAATAAGATTATACTTACCACTGCATAGCAGTATTTTGTGTTGACAGATATTCAAACACGTTTAATCTCTTAGAGTCGCTTTATTGTAATCTATCCATTTTTTTAGCGACAAACAAAATGCAACTCATCGTGGAAGGAATTAGGCCACAACGGGGTTGCACTTGTATACCCTATTTTTTAATATTTATTATTTTATTAAATTGCAACCAAGGATAGTAGTTGTATTATTCCTACATATTATTTGGTACAGACGAGTGCCATTTACTTCACTTTGCTCGCTTATGCTTTCTCGTGTCGAACATCAATAATGTATTGTTACACTATAGGGCATAGTTTACTGTATTTGAATTTCGTGCACATCGTTGAAGGTCTCTAAAGTCAGTGTTATTGCTGTGTATATTGTAATAATATATAATGTATACGTTTAAAATCTCACCAGCAGAGGCGTTTGATTGATGATTGTGTACGTGAAATTTTCAGGGATAAGGTTATACTTCGCAAAGTTGTTCTTTGCATAAATTCAATTAGGCCCCTTTGAGACAACCTAACCGCGATTTCGCCAGGGTAATTTCATTCATCAAACAACTATCATAGTTAGTTTACTAATAATATATTATACGTGGTGCTCATATTAAACGTATTACGTACACGAAACCGTCAAACTATTATGCTTAATAATTATCAAATGGCTTTACTGTACATACCAGAATGACTATTCTATTTGCGTGTCCAATATACTAACAATAGTTATTAGTAATTAATTATAACTATACTACACGATAGTAATATTATAATCTATATTTACTCGGGGTCTCCGTACTGTATAGTTCTTAGTTGGTTCATGGTTGGACTTAGAAAGGCAATCAATGAAAATTATAATCGGGTTACATTACGATTATGATATTACACATAATATTTTTCTTTATTTTTGAGCTATGCAAAAATATACCTTATAACGCAAGTTTAAATGGTATTATTTATTATCAAGTTGTATGATAATATACTTGAGCTTCAAGCTAAAAATCCATAATATATACATATTTACTCCGTACTAGGTTTATTAAAAATTTGCCCTCTTTCAGTCACCCCGCTTCACGGATGTACAGAGTTTGTCAGGGGTGGAGGGCGGTAACTAAATCCTCGCTACTTTGAAATGTTGATTAAATAAATAAATACCACAATTATTAATGGTTAAATGGTTGGTTTTTCTTTATCAATATTATACGGATGATTATTAAACATAGTATACTATTTTCTTTTTTCCTCGGTGGCTTACGATATTTGTGATTGGGGTTGAACACTTTCGACGATAAACGCATAAAGGAAAAAGAACCCTTCCGGCAACAATAGTCGATACGAAGTATGGTTAGGCGATTAGGCCACATTATTATATTTATGATCCAGGTCATCTGAAGAATTTATAATTCTCCAGACTAGCGCCACTCCGCCTGTATCGTGTGCTGGACGGACGTCTGGTTTATTTTGGGCCATTAACCGCGGTGCGATTCTAAGGGTCGCAGATCGACTGCGATGGCGATTACGGGCTATAGAGTGTGTAATAATAACAATATAGCCGATTATACCGAGGAAGAGAGCGAGTGCGATAAACCGTACACTGGGAAGGGATATAGTGGCAGTTTATATAGACACAACTATATCCACCATGACTTTGTGACCCGTGTGTACTGGAGTCGAGGGCGGCGTTTTATGGTAGTCTTGTTTGCGACGACCGACTAATGGGCCCCGGGGATTTGTGTTTCCGACAAATTAAAACTTTCGACCCTCTTGGCATACCCACTTCGCTCGTTGGATAGGTTCTAGACGGGAGGGCGGGTACGAGTTTCGGGTAATTGGGTTATATAAGGCTTCCCGGACGGTCGAGTAGGCCGACAGCGAGGAAGAACGCGTACACTTCCAACTCGTTATATCTATATAGACACACAACAGACAGGATCCAAAGGCCAACGCAAAGGGGTATAGTGTCTATATATATATATGATAAGAGTTTCTGACAAGTGCAGCAAAAACACCCTGGACCCCCCCCTATCCCTATCTTCCCACGCGCCAGATACTTAACAAAAAGCCTTCTTCCTGCGCAACCCGCCCGTTAAATCACACCTACCTCTCCTCTCGGTTGTGCCAACTCTAAGGTTACATATTATTATACAATATAACACTACCACCGCCGTCTCCGTAAACGCGCACTTGACGCTTCCGTCCCTCTTTCATCCGCTCACGACCGCAAAATGTATTTACAGCGTTTCGTCGACTATAAGAGAAAATTATAATAATAATAACAACAACGCCCAGCCGTTCCCGTTAAATACAATAATAACATACAGTCAAGTAAAATCGCTGTCGTGAACAATGTACGTTTAAAATTCAAATAAATATCACCTACTACTAAACTGTTTCCATACATAATCGTTTTGTTGCCACATATCCTTTTTTCATACGGCTAGTCGGGAAACGGAAATTTTCCGAAATTGCTTAATCAAATCTGCATTGGTGCAACTAGACTTAAATTTTAGGGTGTGCTAAAATTATTTATACCTGACTAAACATAATTCTTATCTTCAAACTATTAGTTATAAAATAAAATATTTGAAAACAAAAATATTCCAAAATCAAAAATTTGAACAGAGTATGTATTATGTACATTAATAAAATTTTGTGCGTACAACTCAAGGATAGGGGTTTGAATTTTTGGGGGTACTAAAGTCCCCTTTGTTGCACCTATGGAAATCTGTTATCAAGTATTAATCGTCAATTATAACCCTTAGGTTGGCGGCGAAAATTTAAAAACATTCACACTTATTAGATTGGTATTGTAAGTTTACATTATGGAGGTATGTATCTTAAATACATAATGCAAGAGTTGAGGCATGTTTTTAGTACCTAGGTTGGATTTCATATAACTAAAATGTTTGTTCAACCCATACACTCTATTACATTTTTAAAGTAAATAAAACTCACTAAAAATGGCAAACTCCGTGATTTTTCACAATTATTAGAAAGTAGGCATACATTTTTATGATCTGACATTGTTTTTAGTTGGTCTGGATGAAGCGGAAGTCCGGTCTCAGTCTCCACTTCGCCCCTGAACCATGGTCGTTTTCGGTTTGGGATTTGTCTAAAAGATTTTAACAATGAATTCGTGTCCATTACATTTTGTTTGTAAACGGTGTTTTTTTTTTAAGAAACTACAAGTTCAACCGGTCGGAACCTTAAGAAAAGAAAAAAAAAACAACCGAGTAATTTATCATTATTCGTCAACCCCGCCGATGATGCGTGTACGTGTGTTTGCATAACCGTCCGCCGTATTCCATATATATATATATATATATATATGTATTATGTGTGTACCTACTGCCGTCACACGGGGGGGGGGGAGGGGGGCTGTTGACATTAATGTCGAGGATTATTATACACAACGGTCGGGGTACTTTGCGTGTATATGTATCATATTATATATGTTCATTTTTCACCCCATTCGTATTGCGGAGAACGCCGGAAGAGGGTGCCAGAGCTCGGTCGTCCGCACACGAGTATAGCACGTACGCCAGGGACCGAAATTGAACGCTAATGGCGTATTAACCCAGTGAGGAAAGAGAGAGAGAGAGAGAGAGATAGGGGGGAGTATAACAATAACATAACGGCTTAGCGAGAGCGGCAAAATTGTATTGTACGGCAAACAATTATTATGTACGAGGGGCGAAAAAGGGTTGAGGCGGCCATCCCGAGCACGTACAAAACGCTCTTTGTCTAATTACACACAACTTCTGTCTCTCGCTCGTATACCTTTTGTGTGTTTTGCACATACCAAACACACGATCACGGAAAAACCACTTCACTCTCCTCTTAATATTACTACTATTATGATGAATTTATTGGCGGTGTTCGTTGAACTAAAATATAACGTACACGCACGCCGTTTCTCGATGTCGTTATTGTTGCACTTGACTGGCTCGTTCAGCAAACAGTTTTTCAAAATTCTTTTCTTCCGGATTAACACAGACCCAGACATCGAGTGAACACCGAAGGCGGCCGTCTGTATTCCGGTGAACCTCCTCCTCAAAAACCTACAATAGGATCACGATAAAGTTCTGGGCAAAATTCACATTAAACTCTTCAATTATAGTTGAATTACACAATTACTTTAATCTTCAAAAACACGTGCAAAAGAAGTTCGAACATTAAAATTTTTTCCAGAAAAATAATTTTGTTTAAGAAAAACATATTTTTTATAACTGAGTGAAATGTGAATTATGGTTTATGTTGGAAATGAAAAAGCTTTAATCCACAGAGTTACGCGGAACGAGGAATGTAAAGGAGTAAAGATCACAACTAAACTGTAACGGTTACTTTTTTTTTTTACATGCGCTATATTATATTATAATGATTTGAAAATAAATGTTTCAAAACAAAGTTTAAAAGACGAATTATTAAAACGACAAAATTATAAAGAGTTAATCTAATAAAAATAAGAAAACAAAAATAATTAAAATGAATGACAAGATCCTATTTGCCAAGAGATACAGAATAAGTCAAGCGAACCGGTAAAGTATTATTAAACATTATAAAAGGTGTGATAATGATCACTTAGATAAAGTATTACACGAGTCGTGCAATAAAATACAAAGATTGCCCATTTGGTTATCGGAATTATAATTATAACCTTGAATTTTATTGATTATACATTATTATTATTTGCAGTATACGCAAAGGTAAATGACGATGAGTACATCAAATGTCCGTTTTGTTACTGAGCTCAACAACTTCTTCAGAAGTTGCAACTGGTAGTGCCGGACGTTGCTCGATCGAAACACGTTGACACGGTGTAAACGATAAACGAACTGTCGTTGGCTTCGTACAATGATAGATGTTGTACAACAGCTGCAGTTGAGTGAACAAAAAAATTATCATAATATCCAACCACACCCATATGTTAGCCATCAACCCTTGTTTTTTGATATTTTTAATTGCATTTGAAACTTCTGAATGTGTTCAACATTAATTTCTGAGGAAAACAAATAAAATTATAATTTTCACAAACATAAAAACACAAAATATAAAATATTTAAAACTGTTATTGTACATAATAAAATAATACAATAACCAATATATTATTAAATATTAATATGCACTATTTAATAATTCTAAATAGTAATTAATGTATTTATTCTGCTAATTTATTTTGTGGCAACTTATAATATTAATATAAATGTATGGAAAAAAAATATAATTTATTTCGACTTACTAATGGATTTAGCCATTTTCATTAGCTCTTGCGAGTCCAACAGGTCGTTTGATCCTGTTATTAGCGTTAAAAGACCATTGCTTTCATCACATTCGTCAATGAAATAATTACAACATTCCAGAATGTGTTTAAAATGACTGAAAAAAACAAAACACGACGTTAAAATGATGAAATCTTGAAGGATAAACTTAAAAATTGTTACTTACCAGACTTCTTTGGTTAACTTCGGTAATGCTTCAAGTTTGATCGGTCTCGATTCGTGTATACCCTGCGACTTTAGGTTGCAATTACCTTGTTGCAACTGAAACTCCAACCAACGTATGGTCAACCTGACTTCTTTGCTGAGTTTTTTTTGTTCGTCCAGCGCCGATATTACTGCAGTGGAAAAAAGTTTGTTAAGCAAGATAATTTAACTGAAGTTAAAACGAGAACTTGAAACATAAACGAGTTATTACCGATAGCCGGCACTACTACGACAAACATCGTGCTGTTCACCAGTTTCTTGACAATCAGCGAATGATTGATTAGCGCGTCGGTGTCTACCACCAAGCACGTGGGAAGTTTTTTCTTTCTGGACGTGTACTTCATTTTTACTTCTAGATTGTCGACTTCGGCTCGGAGCCACAACTTGCCCATAACGTGTTGTTTGTCGCGTTTCGCGTCGATTTCGGTTTTCTTCTCGACCTGAATGAGGGTAAAAATAAGTTGCAAGACGGTGTAGTATTTGTACAAGGACATTATTATTTATTGTGATGTTTGTACAAAAAGAAAACTAGCCCGACGAAATGAAAAAAAGGTCTTTTGACGTCGGGCGGTTTATTTGCTGCTGCTCTTAAGGGTTAAAATGTCGTTGCCGAACCGCTTTGACATAACGACACCCTTCGCCGCCCGTTGAAAACTACCGTCGGCGGCGGGGAAAGGCAGTAGAAGAAGCCGGCGAAGGAGACAAATAAAAACCGCTGTCGTCTGCGATTCGACTCCCGTGTTCGTCTTCTAGTTTCCGTTTTGTCGACCGTATTTAATACGTCTGGAATCTTTTATGGCCATCTCTCCTCCCCCGCCGTCCCCGACGAATATATACAGTAATAAAACCGACAGACCGTACGACGATAATGGAATACGGTTAAACGCTCGGCAAAAGGGGTCCTTCCCAGCCTCTCCACGACCCCTAACCTCAAAGCTTTACGGTTATAAATTTTACCGTCGCCTACGTCTACCCGGCCCCCTTCGGGTTACGTCGTCGCCGCCGCCGAGGTTTGCCTTCCCCTCAACGGTACTCTGTTACTCTAACGCGACTCGCAAGCCATTACAGTATCACAGCTCTACAGAGGCGCGCAAGAGAAATTGTTCTCCCTGTTTTCTTACTTTATACCTACGTCCCCTTCCCGTACTGTCATACACATATTATAGTGCTGTTAAACCTAACCGGCATGACATTCATTGCGGTGAGCCAACATACACGGAATGGCGGTAATTCTTGCGTTTATTTCAGCGACGACAAGTGTAAATACCCGAAAACGGAGTTGTAAAACAGAGGACTTATCGAACTTGGTCGGTTATCTAATCCGAAGAATTTTCGATAATTATAGGTGTATTGCTAAACGTCGGCGATGGCTTAACCTTTTGTCAGTCTACGTGCCAGCGGACGAACTATTTCAACGCCATAAAGCATATATTTATTTGATTCGGTGAAAATTATAATAATAATACGCACAAAGACAATATGGTCGTTAAATATACGACCGCGTTAGTGTTTGAAGGGTAAAAATGACGGAAAATCGGTCGATTGACCGTGAAACGGCGCGGCGGTAGAGAAGTTTATACGGGTGATTAATTTTCTTTGAATGTCTGTCGGTAAATATTATATGATTGTTATAAGGCGGCGAACATAAGTTCCAACAGAGATGAGATTTAACGGTCGCTGTGGTTTGCGTGCGAGACATTGTTAATAAGAATTTTATAGAAGCGACTATATAGCCGAGCGGCAATAAATATAAACCGATAAAACCGGGCGGATATTATTATACAAGGAGAGATGTCCCCTACTCTATGCGTTGAGGGGGAGGTCGGCATACACAATACCACTATATAAGTTATATGTCCCATCCCGCAGTTTATGGGGGCACGAGGATTGACTACTACGGCTATATAGGTGGAAGGCGACGGTGGTGGCGAATCGATGGCCGTAAAAACTTTTGACGGCCAGGATGACACGTCCCTTCCGGATCACTTTGTAACTGCAACGTGCAAAGCCCGTAAAAGACAATCCGGATTACGGACGAGAGTGAAGAAATATATAAGCGGATACAGCCGTCGCCGCCGAGAGAGGAAGGAACAACAAAAAAAAAAAAACAAAGAAAGAAAGAGAAAGAAAAAGATAAAATATATAAACCCGCCTAGCCTTATGGTGTATGTGTGTATATGCAGCCGGAATCGTTATTGGCGAGATCCGCTTTCAACATTTTCAAACTGCTTTATTGTGTTGCGACGGGGATAAGAGGGAGGGCTTTCCTCTTTACACTCCTACCTTCTCCTCGGCCATACAAATCTGTGTGTGCGTGCGTGAAAAGGGCAGGTTTTCTGTCTTGTATTTCTATTTTATTTTAGTCGTCCCTTTTTCTTGGGTATTTTTTTCCCCTTTTTTAAGTCTCATGAATATTTACAAGATACAGACTTCGCTATTCAAATCTCGCGCTTTCGTTTGTCGCACAGTTAATGTAGTATTTTTCACGGAGGGGGGGGGGAGGAAACCCTATTGCTGTTTTTATGAACTTGGTTCGGAGACCGATAAAAACACAATCTTTTGGTTTTTTTTCTGAATAAGAAATGACTCTGCCTCCGATTTACCAGAATTTACATAGCTAATTTATTATAACTCCAATTACGTTAGCCATTCTGCATCAGTCGCGATTAAACCAAACTTCGCGCTTTCTTCGTTTCGCTCACAATCACTTGTATAAACTTACAAGGCAAAATCTTTTTCCAAATGCTACATTTTATTTCAGTGAATTTTTTATACGTGGATGATTTAATTTAATACAATTTTTTATCCAGGTTTTATAAAAACTTTGAAATATTAACATAACAAAAACATCATTACCGAACCGACTTAATCGCAAAATGTACTCAAAGCATGTAATAATCACAATTATCACAAGTTAATTGTTTGTAGAAAGCTGAAAATTAGTATTTAGAAACTTAATTGAAAGACAATGAGTATGGGAAAATGTATTATTTAATATTAATAGACTAAAGTTAAGGTTAATATTAATAGGTTAAAGAGAAAACTTAGTTTTAAGTCAATAATACTCATAGGCGTAGGGTGGATAAATTTGTAGGGGGGACTGTAGCCCTCAACTAATTTTGTATGCGAGGTTTTGTGAGGGGATTTGCCCCCCCCCCTCTTATATATGTATTAATTTGCCTCATAGTGGAAAACGATCTTTCGTAAGATCACACTTATAGTAGTACTGATTACCACGTATTGCTATCACAGATTAAATAAAACTAATATATGTTACTATTTACAATGAATAATACAATTTTTTTTATGACAATAAATATTAACTTTAAATAGGTATCGTAACAATAAACCATTTCTAATGTAAGGTATTATTTTATTCAGATAGCTTAAAATAATTTTTGTGGGGGGGGGGCTATTTCTTAGCCAGGGGAGCTAAGCCCCCCACTAAATACGCCTATGATAATACTTAAAATAAACAGTTAATCTAACAAATAAAACTAATTCTTAGCAAATATTTGTTTGTCATCCATTTGAAAAAAATAAACTTTTCTCGTTAAAACTGTAAATATTACATTTTTTTTTTTAAACTATATATATTTTATAAGTGCTAAAAAGTGCACTAAATGAAAAATATATTAATGAGGCGATGATACTTCTATTTTTATATGAAATATTTTGCATAAATTATAGGTATATACAATATGTATGTTCAATATTGAAGTTTCAAAAATATTAAACTAATATCTTGTCAGACATTTTATTTTAATTTACCTAATTTTAAGATTTTTAAAACGGGTTTCTCCATTAATGTAGTGTCATGAATAACAAAGTACTTAATAATAACTTACTTGTTTTAAAGTGTTGCATGATGAGAACCATTTTTTTTCACTATCGTACGTAAACAACACATTATTTGATGCAACTTCTTTAGCGCAGTGCAAGATTTTCATGAGTCGTATCACACCCTATGACAGAGGTAACAATTATTTCTTTTTAATATATTATTTGTTGTTAAAAAGTATTTGACTAAAATACAAAGGAAATTCTGAAGAAGAGCAGAACATGTCTCATAAAAATGGAAGTTTTAAATAGGATACTGCAAGAAACAGATAGAGATAGATCACAAGACAGCAATTATAAAACTGAATGAAGCAACTACAGAGGGATGTCGTTTCTGAATTTAGCATAAAAGATATTTTTCAGTGTTATTAATCTGCTTTTGGCATCACAAGCAGAAGACCATTTAAGAGAATACCAGTGTTTTCTTGAGGGAATATTAACTATGGAGCAATTGTCAATAATAGAACGCTTAACAGAAAAAAAAAAAGGGAATTTGGAAAAAAAATTTGGCAGTTATTTGTGGACTTCGAAAAAGCATATGATAGTTCTTAACAACATAATGAACAAGTTAAATTTCTGAAAAAGCTTGTGAGCCTCACCAGAACATGTATAGAAGAAACAAATTTCAAGTCAAAGTAGACAGTATAGAATCTGAAGCAATCAGTTTTGAAATATAAAACAAGGAGACACGTTGTTGTTGTTATTTAATATAGCTATAGAGAAGGTGGTAAGATGAAGCCAAAGAAATAACTATAAATTAATGCTCCTGAAAAATATTAGGACTTGTGGACGAATTAAATGTTTTTATGATTCTCTAGAATAAAACAAACGAGAGCAACTATGGTACTAAAACAACTGTAAGACAAATAGGTTTACAAATTAGCACAGCAATTGATTATTTGTTTAATCAATTTTTTTTATCAAATGTTATGTTTTATAAAATACTGCATCAATACCATATGAATAAACAAATTTACAAATTATTTTTTTATTTATGTAATTTTAAATATATATGCAGGTGCAATATTGAATTTTGATTGTGTCAATTTATTTGTTTGTTTATCAGTGATACAAATAAATAAAATGGTAATTGCAAGTTAATTACCTCATTTTTAAAACAGTGATTGTCATAGAGACCCACTTTAAATTCATATAAAGCTGTCATTCCTCTTAAATGTTCTTCTTCTGGTAATAATAACTGATCAGCTTTAAAATCTGGATAATCATTTTCAATGTTAGATTGTGATAAATAGTTTAAAAACATAACTGTGTTTGTCAATAACTCTATTGGGAGATTTGGATTTATTGATTTCACACGCTCATTAAGCCAATTAAAAAACAACTGAAAAAATAAAAAACATAAATTATTATTGATTTTTCTCATAGACAATACACACTTATCAGAATAAAAATTACATACGTTAATTGCTTCTGGAAATGGTAAATTGATTAAATTCATTTTTGGATTATTCTTTTTTTTATCGGAATTGAATGAAGACGTACCACTATCATTTGATCCATCAGACTCTTAAAAAAAAAAAAAAATTAAACATGACACAATTTTGTAGTTATGATTTTATTCCTTAAAACTATCTACTTTGTTTTTTAAAAATTTGTAAAATAATTGTTCACATGCAATAATAAAATAATCTAAAATATTATTTGAAGTTGGGCATAAAGTAAGAATAATCATGTTTTTTTTAATAAATACAACAAAACAATACTAAAAAATGTAGTTGGTTTCCATTAAGTTTTAGGAACAAGAATAATATGTAAATCAAATATTTACTATTTAAAAATGATAAATAAATAAAATTTTACTATTTTAATTTGAACATGGATTATAAATAATTAAACTTAATAATTTATAAAAAAAAAATATATATATATATTTATTTTTAATATATATGGTCGGATCAGCCAACCAAATAAATAAAATATCACTTAATCTAAAATTGTAAAATGTTGTTTGCTAAGTGTTAAAAAGAAGAGCACAAAGTAGACAGTAACCCAACTAAGTATTTATTCAACTAACCATTTTTACTTTTGTCATCATTAGGTCCCTTCATATCAAATACTAAAATTTCCTCTTCGCTTTCATCAGATTCGTCATCTGGACTTATTACACTTTCAGCTTCATCTATAATTAAATAAATAAAGAAAATGTTAAATTATACGTTTTACAATAAGGTAAGAAATAAAAAATCTCAGTTAAGGGGGGGGGGGGGGTAGGGTATTAAATTTAAAATTTTTTTTTTTTTGTTAACTGAATGCATAATATCTCAAGAATATTGTGTCAAAATTTCAAGTCGATCGGAACAAAATTGACGACGTTATGAGTTGTCGGAATTTTATAGCTGCCCGGCCCGAGCGCACTATCAGTAACTTTAAAGCGTTTTTCCCACAACTCACGTTTTCAAAGTCGGTGACCCTTATAACTTCAAAACTACTACACCGATCCTTTTGAAATTTTGAACACTATTTCTGTACATACCTTACAAGGTAACGTTAGAGATTTTCGTTCAAATTTGTAAATATTTTTTATTTTACAATAACAAATTAGCCGATTTTTTTCGCAAAAATCGCGTTTTCCCCTTCAAAGTGTTCCCAAAAAGTAAAAAATTGAAATTTCAAAAAACCCTCCCGGCGTTACCTGGGGAAAGCAATTATCTAACGAAAGAATTTGATTTTTTTAATTTCAGATGATCCAGCATCGAGTTATGAAGGACACCGCAATTCTACTTTTTTCCGAGACGCTTCCGAATAATTGCTGCCATTGCCGTATTTTTTAATATTTCTACATGAAAATATTACACAATATTCTTCGAGTGTTATACTTTAATGTACTATTAGTTTTAATAAACAGATTTTAACTGTGTCGTCAAAATAAAATTCACAAAAATTTGTCGTTTTTTGCACGAATTAACTATACCCCACCCCCCTTAAGGAAGTTTTTGACTTTAAATACTGACCACCGCTCCAATCTTGAGAGTCTGGCGAAGAATGTTTCATAAATCCTCGTCTACGACGTCTGCGATTCAATTTTGTATGATCTATATTAGGATCAACTAATTGTGGTAAAGTTTTTAAATAGTGATTCACACATTGCATAATCAATTGTTCCATAAATGCAAAGAAGAACAACTCTGCCTTCGGTAGACACTTTGATTCTAAAAATAATACAACATGAAATTTTTTATAATAAAAGTAAAAGCACTATATAATATAATACAAATTAATATCATACTAAACTTAAATTATAATTGGTCATAAATTATCCAGTAAGGGGATTAGTATTTTAATGACACGACGAGTAGATTGTATTATAACAGATTGTATATATAAATGTATACAAGTAATATATAATAAAGTAAGTATATATTAATATATACAAGTATTTAAAATACGTATGTGAAATACTTTTTAGTATTTCACCCATTAGTCTAGCTAATGGGTAAAGGTCAGGGCTTAATTCATCCCCAGAGGACGGTGTTAAATTTTGAATCAATGGATTCAACATGTTAGAATATATTTTAATGAATGTTGAAATGCTTAAAAAAAATAAATTACCATTTTGATGCAGTTTGCTTAAACAAGCGATTATGATTACACTTATTTTAAATACTTCTTCATTCTTTATAATTGAAATGTTTCCTTTGCATGTATTTTCTTCTTTACAAGATTCAATATTGTTGTTTAGCATTTCATTGTTTTTTTTAAAATTATTTAAGCACATATCATGTAGCATAGTAATAATTTCAGAATATACCTAAAAATGAAATCTAAATTAGGTATTGTATTGTTTGTTCTTTATACTTTGAATATTGAATTCAAATTTTAGCTTTTTTTTTTTTTTACAAAATTTAAATACTTTTAATACCTATAGTATTCGAATATTGAACTAAATTAAATACAGTATTACTTTTAAATAATAGTTACTTGATCTAATTCTTGAAAACAGTCTTTCCCGTTATACCAAAAATCAATGATTATAAAAAGTTTTTCTAGAAATATGTTGTTTATTTTTTCAGATTTCTCCTGCAAAGATAGTATCAAATTTTTTTCTCCTCCTTCAAATGGTTCAATACTGAAAACGCTAAAAAAAAAAATATATATATATATATATATATATATACTAATATACTTCACAGCTTTTATGTTCATACACTTACCATCTAACATATCGGTAGATGGCATCTAAGTGTTGGTCTTTTGATACAGCTAAACGTCCAATTTGATTGTGGGGAAGTCCATAATTTGGTTTGTACTTCAATGCTTGATGGTAATAACGACATGCTGTTGAGTAGCATATATCTAGTTTGTTTAGTTCGTATTGGTAGCGTGATAAATCACCCAAACTTATTAAACAACGGTAAATTATCTGTTTCATACCAGCTTCTTCTTGAATAGCTATAACAAACATATGATATTATTTTATATAGGCACATACATTTATTATATTACTAAACCTTTGTCATTTTTTTTTAGTAATGTTATACAGTCTTTTTTAACAATATTAGCATCTATATCGTCGTTTGATAACAAATAAAAGTCAAATATATTGGGCTTGTCAAATTTAATTTCTGCTTGAAACTTAAACAGGATGTGATAATAACATCCAATGCCAGATTGAAAATGGTTTTCTAATAACGCCATTTCACTTTTACTCCAAACATTATTCTGTAATAATAAACAAGTACATTTTTTGTGAAACATATAAAACTGTCGTTTCACACTTTGGTTTAAGGGGGAGATTAATCTACTTTATCAGACACTTATTCATTAGTTACATTTTTTTATAACTTTAATATAACCAATAGAACTTTCTATGGAGGTAAAAATATTTAATAAAAATTCGTAAATATTTTGAGCCACCGGTTAGTTTAGATGTTTAACATTTCTTATTAAAAAAAACAATATTGAAAAAACAAATTTGTCCAATAAAGTAGACTAATACCAATGTTTATATACATTTTATGTTTTGCAGTTTTACATAAATATAGTTTTAAATATAGTTCAAATTAACAGCTATAGTACTTAATATGTAATAACATATTTACTTTTTTCAGTATTTTAGCAGTGGAATAAACATCATGGTAGATTTTACGCCATAAGATTTCTTCAGCTTTCTTTCCATAACACAACGGATCAGCAAAAATCATTCTTTCACAGTAATTCTTTAGCTTTGCACGTTGAGTTTCGATGTTAACAGCAAAAAGATCTTTGCATGTTAAAGAACGGCCACGTTGATCATCCAAAAAATGGGAAACTTCTGTAATACTCCTATAAAAATTAAATAAATATACTTAATAAAAAGGATACACATAAACAATTATAACATATTGAATAATTAATTTATAATAATTACATAGGCAAAGAAAAATAATAAATAGTTAAAACTGTTAGTATCGAAGGTACTTTTTCTAAATTTTTTTTTTTTTACATATAGCTATAAAACATTTTTATTAACAAGTACATAACACAAAAAATGTCTTTGTTCACTTTTATATATTTTTTTCTTAGATATCATTTTTTTTACAAAATTAGATTAACTTTTGAGCACGTTGGGAGGGGGGGGGCATTTACAACCCTTTTTCAAAAGTCAGGTATTCACTAGTTACAAAAAAAAAAAAAATGCAAACAATTTTCCTATGTAGGAATGAGTGTTACAAAGATGTGTACGAATAGGCAGATGGTGTAAGCGTGAAATTGGAGCAAGTCTATTCTTGGCAAAAAGAGCAATATTTACTTTTCAACCTAAAATGTTAAGATAAGAAAATATAAGAAATAAAGGCAAAGACAACTATGTACAATTTTTCAAAGGAACCAATACAAATTACAATTACAAACATAGATCTCATATAGAACCTTATGGGATTCTGAAAACTGTAGGAATGCTTTTTTTAGTTTCTGTAGGGGAGCAGCACACCTTTAACTATATCATAGCCTCTACTGATTGTTGGATCACGGTTCTAAAGTATTTTAGTGACTAGAAACTAGGTTAGAGACTATATAGTTTCTAACTATAGACTTACACAAATATGAGCCATACGAGTACTACTTGGGAGATGAGGGGCAGTTAGTATGCACTGAAAATGTTTTGTCTTGGTTGTGATTAAAGCAAATGTATACTTGAAAAGAGGTTGTTTACGTGACATTGTTAAATTACAACTCACTTGTACAGTTTTTTGATAGATTCGCTGGCTTCGGCGGTTGGTTCCACAGCAATCAAATTGTGCGCTTTCTTCATGTCGGCGCTGTCACATATCCACCGACAATATATACCTAAACAAGGAATATTTGGCTCTCGAATAAAGTAAATGCATTTATCAAAAAGCGCGAGCGCGGGTAGTGAACAACATGAATTTCGGATGCGAATCGTTGTTGTAGAAGTCGGCGACGGAGGAGAACGCGTATGTCTTCATCGTGAATAATGACGTTTTCCTCGTAAACAAACAACAATCAGTCGCCAATGCAATAAAACCGTGGAAAACAAACAATCTCTATGTAACAAGTTGTTTAGTTTGTCCAATGTGAAAAGTGGGAAAAATATGATATTGTTATTGTAATTTGCGGAGCAAAGATGATTACATGCACCAGAGAAACCGAAAAACAATCGGCAAAGTGTACGGGATAGAGGTGGGTCGCGTCACACACGTGATATGGTGACAATCAGGAGTTGACAACAGCGCGTCACGACCACCTTGCGCTAATTTAAAGGTTATCACGGTCGCAATCCATGGATAAGAAAAGCCCGTATCATCCAAGGTCGACCACGAGCTTACCTGTCGATACGCGCACTTCATACGCAGATAACGTCACCAGTGTGACCATATCTTCGATTGTTACAGTATAACCCCAAAAATGAATATATTACAGTCACATTTTGAAAACGGGCGCCAGAATCCATATTTTAACGGAATCTATTGTTTTGATTCTCATGCTATCAGAAAACATGTCATTGATGACAATAATAATTGTTATTTTTCCATAGCGTACCGATTTTCCATAGTATTTTAAGGCTTTTACGTTGATTAGGGAATAAATAGAAATTATTATGTGTTTTTACCTTATTAACTATACAAATTAGAATAGCTTCTGAATACTAGAAGTTTTATATTATTTACCTATGCGAATTTGTGATTTTTTTTTTTTGTCGTTTATAAAAACTATTTAGTGTATTTAACACCGTTTACGCTGCTTCGGATATCCGGTACGTTTATCTGATTGTTGACTAGTAATTTTTTATTCTCGGTGTTTGGTTTCATTTTTTAAAGTAATTTTAATGCTCATCATACATAATAATATGGTGTGATCATATTACCTATTAAAGTACTACTTATATAAATACTTAAGTATTGTTCTTTTCGGTATTATCGACTTGTACATGATAAATAATAGCAATTTAAACAAGTCTATTTAGGAACAAAATAAAATCTATTTTATTTGAAAATCAAAAACCGTAGACCCGGGAGGAATGTGTTTTTTGAATCATTATAGGTACTGTATTCCTATTATCTAGTAATAAAAGATTCTATATAGCCTATTGAAATTGTATATTTATTGTTTTTCTTTGAATGTTGTATGCCTTTTTAATTGGCATATATTTTAGAATGAAATGTTCAGACCGGTTTAAACTTTTGCAAAACAATTATTTGATAAAAAGGTAGAGCTGATTGCTGAAGTGATTTTACAACACATAGATACAACTGCAATTAATTAAAAATTTTCACAATTTGACCTTGTTTTTAGCAAAAAGAAACACAATGAATAATTTATTAAGAAATGTTTTCTTAGAATTTGAATTTTATCTTTTGGGCAGCATGTCATTTTATTTAAAACTGCTTCTAAATGGTGAAAGTTGCAATATTTTTGCTAAATTATTTGTATGATCTATATTACATTTGTTGTTGTTTAACTTAGTCTCAAATAACTCGTATTTTTACTTACAAAAAAATCTTGTCATATTAATATATGAAGGGCACAGGGGGAAAACGGTAGTAGTCACATTATGAACATTTTTTTTTTTTAAATCGTTTTTTACAATTTTTGCGATTCATTTTTTTTATTTATGTCAATAGATTGTTTAAATAAATACATTTTTTATTAGAATAGCATTTAATGTGATTTTTTTGTTGTGTAAGAGGGAGAAGAATTTACGAACTTTGTTTTTGCTATACTCTAAAATGTTCATAATGTGACAACTACCGTTTTTCCCCCGTGCCCTTCATATAATCTTATGCTTAAAATCATTATATTTTGGCTATACATTCCTTGTAGCAAAAATCTAAAGTAGTATAACCAGTTGTATTGTTTGGTACTTTTATTATTGTTTGTCTTGTATTTATTAGAAAAAAGTAATCTGTTATTGTTTTACTATTAAAATTAGTTGAAAATAAAATTTAACCGACTAAAAAAATTCTAGTTGTATTAAGTTAAAATGAATAATATTTTTAACAATTAGTTCATAATTAATATGCTTATTTAATAAATGTTTTTAATACATTCATATATTTTTTTTAGTTGAACAATGGCAAGTAGACAGTCTGTTAGTTCAATATTGAAATTACCCAAAGTACGACCACCGCTTAAAGAGATTGAACCCAGTGAACAGGATGGCGATGAAAATACTGCTTCATTGCCTAAAAGAAAGGTGAGTTTCTCGGGGATGAATAAAATAAAAATGTATAATACTGCTGCGACTTCATTAACTGTTTGTCATGCACCAATGTACGATGAACAATTTTCAATGTTATCCGATTCATCAAATGCAGAAAAAACTGGAAAAAATGAAAAATCTGATACACATACTACTTTAGAAGCAACTAATTGTACTGATGTAGAGAACAACGGTCGTGTGATTATTGAATATGATAGCCCAAACGATAATATGGAAATGACGGAGGCAATGACTGGTAAAATATTTTCTCAAGATACAATTTATACAATTGACAACAATGAATCGGGAGAAAATAATTTAAATTTGGACTGTTCAGACAACATGGAATTCACAGAAGCTCTTAAAGTAGGTCAAATTTTGACAGTTAGTAACGAAACCAGGTTTGATTGTTCAGGAATGTCTGAACCTTCTGATGATGCTAATGACAAAGAATCCTTAACTCAAACTAATGACGAATCAACCACGCAATTTTTTACCAAGGCTGCACAAAACTATTTAGACGTAAGTAACGAATCAAATAATATGGAAATTACTTATGCAAATACTGAGTCCAACAATATGGAATTTACTTGTATAACTACCAAATCTCAGGCGTCTGGTTGTTCTATTGATAACAGTAAGTGTTCTAACATGGAGATGACTAAAGTGCTCGACGGTAAAATGTACCAAGTTAACACTGATTTAGATGAATATACTTCAATGAGCATTGAAGCAGAACTGTCGAATGAAATTTTACAAGATAGTCAGTGTAGCCCTGTAACAGAACCTGATGATAATTTATTAAGCCCTCATAATTTAATTTCAAATAAAAGCAAGAGACATGAAACTAGTTGTAACGATTCAGAGATAATCGATGAAGATCTTTCTAGTAGCTTAGTTTCAATGGATATTGACGATGTGACAAAAGACTATGAGTATATCAATAAACTTGTAGACAATCAAGAAATATCTCAGCATAACAACAGAGATCAATTAGGTTTAAAAGAAAATTATGAATTTATTGGTAATAAGCGAGAAACTTCTTTTCGACAAAATAGGAAATCAGGAAATTCATTAGTGCCTGTTACCTCTTACTGTGTTAAAAATGAATGCTCAACAATGGAGGGAACAAATAACAATATAAAACAAAAAATGTATTCTAGGAAATCAATGGCTTTGGTAAGATCAATTGTACAACATGAATCTCCTGAAAAATGTTTAGTTGATAAATCTGTTTTAGCCGAAGATGATGTAATAGAAGAAAATTCAAGTTTAAGTTTACAAAATGAGTCTGTAGAAAAAGTTGAAACGAAAGAATATGAGTTTAAAAAATATTCAAGAAAATCATTAGCACCTATTTATGCACTACACAACCAAGTAGAGCCGCCATCAAGTGAAATCATATTTGATGAATTAGTGCCAATTGAACAAAATGAAGAAGATAAAAATTGTACGAAATCAACGGTTTCAGAGTTAACATTATTTACTTTAAATGAGCCTACAGAAGAAATTCCGCTTACTAAATCATTTGTTGAAGAAAACCAACAAAAAAATATTTATAGACAATCAATGGCACCTACAACGGTATCTTTATTGTCTGATGATAGTGTTCGAGATGTAAATAATTCTGAGAATGGACAAAGTAGATTAATCATGAAAAATGAAATGCAGTCCATGTTGCATAATATAAACAATGATGATAATGATTTAAATTCACCTTTTAGAAAAAAATCAAGGGTATCGAATGATTTGTCAGTTATGCAAAATAATATTGTTGATGACAATTATTTAGAACTGTCTGGAATTCAACCAGAAATTATTGCAGAGAATAAACAATTGATAAATACAAACTTAGTTAGTAATATGGATGTGTCTGTAGAATATGATCCTAAAAATGAAGATTTTGCCAACCTATCAGTTGATCCCATGGATGTTTCATCATGTTCATCATATAATACTTCCATGATAAAAAAAATAATGTCCGGTTCTTCAATCGGCGAAGAAGAACATTACTTGACTTTATTGAAAAGCGCATCCAAACAAGGGACACAGCAAACAGATCAGTCTTTCAGTAAAGAAAGTAGTTTTACGCAACAAATAGGTAATTTTTTGCAAGAAGTTGAAAATTCAAAGAAAACAGACATAAACAGTGAAAGCCATGAATCCAAACAAAATAAATTAAATGATTGTCAAAAAGAAGACGTATTAACAAAATCTTTTGAGCAACTTTCTGAAAGCCACAAACTAGTTACCAACAATTTTGCGTTAGAAGAAAATAAATGTGTTGAAAAATCGATTGTTGTTAATTTGGAAAAAAGTGCTTTGGAACTAATCGATCAAAACTCTATTTCTTGTAATTCCCAAGATCCATTTCTTGAAGATATTTCAGTTTTATCAATTCCAAATGTCAATATTCAAAATTGTGATAGTTCAGTGGCCGGTAACAGAAAAAGGAGTTACAGTAATAGAGATTGTAATCCATTGTCTCATACATTTAATTCAAAGCAGGTTTTAGTTAAAAATGAAGATTTTGTTCATGACTTGTTGATAAAAGACAGTTCTATTCAAGAACCATTTTGTATCAATGAACACCCAACTGAATGTTCAGTAGCTAAAAATTCAATCTGTATAGATAATAATGAACATTACACTACACAAAATGACTTACTGGACAAAGAAATAAGCAGAGATGTATCAATTAGGGAAACAAGCAGTAAAGAAAAACCAGCCAACGATAAGTTGATTAAAAATTATGTTGACAGTGTTGGATTAACCCAAGATAATTCAGTATGCTACACAAGTCTCTATAAAAATAATTCAGCTCATGGCGAGGTTAGCAAAGATACATTGATAGACGTGTCTATGGAAAAATGTTCAAACGATGAGAATACAGATAATAGTAATTTTTCAAAAGATGGTTCAATGTTTAAGGAGTCTGTCAAGGAACATTTAATTAACGAAGTATCGGAATTTCTGAATAGATGGGAAAAACAATTTCTTGATGGTTTACTCGTTTTAGAAAAATGTACAAATACCAAATGGATTTTTAATTTATTGGCCAAACATTTATATTTAGAAATTAGCTATTTTCCAATGGTCGACAGTCATTCGTTTCTTAAATTAGAAGATATTTCTTTTTCGAAATCAAGTACACAAAATGAAGTAATGAAATTTGGTATAAATTGGATTTTATCAAAGTACAATCCAAAGATGTACAAACGTATATGCTTCACGAGTGGTCACATAGAATTATTGTTAAAATCATTGTTGGAAGATGTTCAATTTATCAACAATATGATGCAAAGTATGTCGTATTTGCAAGATATGCACTGTGTTGATTTTAAGGACAACAAAGCTTCCTTTGTGATACATCAAATGAGTGATCATCCAATGATGACTCAAATCGAGGTGTCCCTTACCAATATTCATAAGCTTTGCGCCAAGGATGTTGTGGTCGACTGCATATTTGGATCATTTGATATGAAGGCAATGGGAGATATTATTGAAACTATCCCTAAAGATTGTGATACCTTGTATTCATTTATTAAAAAACTTAAGACACTTTACAAGTAAACCAAGTTCACTATGTATAAACTAATTTTTTTATAATATTTTATGCTAATAATTTAAAGTAAATCGACGATAAATATTATGTTAAAAAATATTTCAATTAGATTCATTGTTTAATTTTTTTATTATGTAATTTCTTAACATCATATATTTTTTAAATTAAAGTAAGTAATATAGTACATGTGTAGTTTTTTAACTACATAATAGCCTATGTATTATTTTATTTTTATAAATTATACTAACTAATAATTATTATTTTATTAAATTTAAAGAAAGTTGTAATATAATGTACTTATGTACCTGTATAAGTTTTAAATTTGCATATTTTGTTATTATTTTATGAACACATAAATACGAACATTCCCCACCGCAATGTATTTGTTGTTGTCAATTTTGTTAATTTACGTCCATTAACACATGCTTAAAAATGTGTAAAGATTGTATGATAATATATTAACAATTTGTGTATTGCTAATTTAGTGTTTATCATAATTAAAAAATACAAAAAATATGTATTTTTTTAATTTACAATAATATTGCCAGCAGTTCTGTTGGCTAGCAACAAATAAGGAACCTTTTTATATATGTTATAAATATAATGTACTTCACTGTTTTGAAAATAATTTTTCAATTATATTTTGTACTAATTTATGTTTAGTAGTTGTATTGTTTTGCTAACTCTGAACTGGTATTTAAATTTTTCTAGTAAGTTTAGTTATTTTTTAAATCGCCCCCACGTTGTAAAAAACATCCTCAACAAAAACCTAACAGTGAAAAAGGGCAAAGTTCTAGACCACCTCTAAAAAAAGTCGGCCTATCAAAGTAGTGATATCTACATTGTGGCTGCTATTTCTTTAGTTCATAACCTCACTTCACTCTTACTTTCATGAGCAACACTGCTCTTTTATTTGTATTGCTTAACACTTAGCCAGTTTCGGAATGAGGCTAAAAAAGACTTAGCCATAATGTAGATACCACTACTTTGATTGGCTGACTTTTTAGGGAGGGTATCTGAACTTTTTTTCTTTTCTTCGGAGTTATCTTCTACCTAGCTCCCATGTAACTCCTAAGTGAGTACATTTGATAATGATGTTTTATGCTTTATTCAGAAACTTGCCCAGTATTAAGCAATACAAATAAAAGAGCAGTGTTACTCATGAAAGTAGGAGTGAAGAAAGGTTATGAAAACTAAAGAAATAGCAGACTTGGCCACAATGTAGATATCACTACTTTGATAGGCCGACTTTTTTTGGGAGGGAGTCTGGAACTTGGCCTTTTTCCACTGTTAGGTTTTTGTTGGGGATATCATTCCTTTTTGCTGGCTTCAGCGTCGTGGGTGACAGTGAGTCGGTAACAAAAATAAAAACTTTAAAATTCTCCCCTTTTAAAAAGGCTTACTATTAAGGTCTCATTTTTTTACAGCGGCCTAAGCTACTCGAGCTTAATCTATAATTCAAATTTCAAAAGTTTATCTTAAAAGGAAACATAGATATATGGGTTAGGAAAACTGCGTGAATTGGTTCGTGTCTTTACAACTTTTTAAAAAGTATCTTTATACACTTGCATTGCTGGCATTGCCGTGCGCTCAGATAATTTTGTGATATATTCAACGTATTTTGTGCATTTGAATAATTTTCTAAAATTCATCTCAGATTGAGTTTTCACTCAAGTAGCATTTTTAGTTTCTCATGGACAAAATAAAATATAAACATTGTAATATTTTATTAAACATTGGAGACGATTTAAACAGATGCAATTTAGGATGTATAAAAAAAAATCAGTAGCGAGACTCGATTCAGCCAAAAAAAAAAAGTATTTTTAGTACAGTATTTTGGTACTTGTTTCAAAAAGTAAGGTCTAATTTTGCTATCAATATTGTTGTTACTGTTATATAGTAATATTTTTGTCGAGTCAGTAACTGGAAAATCATAGGCCAATGAACTAAGTATACGTACTACTCAACATTTTATTTACATCACACGTACAAAAAAAAAAAAAGTATAATTATACATTACATTTAACTTGATCGTTTTTAAGAATATTTCAATAGTTTATATTCTATTTATTGGGTAAATTTAAAACAAAACATTTATGACGGATGGTTTGCCGCCTCATCGATTCAATTGATTTATCATCACATAAACAATAATAATTATTACTTTATATAATATGAGCCAGTAAGGTTATTACTTATAAAAAAAGTAACGCTTGTCGTTTCTACTATAGTATATTAACTTATAAACGAAATGACTAGAAATATCAATAAAAAGTAGGTATAGGAAAACAATAAATCTATTTTGTGCTATAACCGTTGTTTTTTGACCGTATAAAAATGTTGCAATAAACGTAATACGATAATTTATAATAATACTATTTATATAAATCGTAACGATAGTAATAATAACGTTAAAAAGAGCAATGGCATTGTAAATACAAAAAAAAAATTGATACATAAACGTAAACTGTTCTTTTATCAGTATATAAAAAACCGTTTAATCATGAAGATACCTAGTATATAATAATATTTTTAAATTATAACAATGAAGTGATAGTGTAACGTTAATATATTACAGAAACGGATAGTTGGTGACAGGTGTAATGATAATAAGTATAATCAAAATGATGTGGACATAATAATTTATTATTACCTATTTATAATAATTATGGCAGCGTTACTTTGTACAACAGGGTGTTGGAACAACGTGTTTCGGGTAATACATTTTTAAATAATTACATGAAAACATTTTGTGCACTTAACCAAAGAAGATGGGTACGCGTTGTTCCCAAAACCCTGTTTAGAAAACGAGAAATAATAGTACAATCCAATTTGTTAAGTTTTATGAAAATACATATTTTAATTCTGCCTAAGCACGTTAAGGCACATTCACTTTTTCGTAGGTATAACATTAAATTGTTTTTTTTTGTTATATATGTAGTACAATAATGAAAATTAACCGAGTATAAGACGTGTTCTGTGTTCGATACAATAATAATAGTAATAAAATAGTTATTGTAATACTCACTAATATCAACAATAGGTAAAAAAAAAAAAAAAAAAAAATGATAACTCTAGGCACTTAAATTTTTTTTGTAAATACATAATAATATGTGGAAAACTAAAATGAACAAAAACAAATTAACGTAATATATTATTATAATATTGTATTTTTTTTTTTTTTAAGAAAAATTTATTATACATATATTTATGTTTATACAGCTCAAAGTTTTAATTAAACGTTTAAATGTATATTATTTAAAAATTAACCACCTTAAGATTTTTGTCTATAATTAATTACTTTTTTTTATTCGACTATACAATAATAATAGAATTGTTTTTTATAATAGTAATAATACATAATATATATAGATTAATATACCTATCTTTAAGTTAAAATAATCGATTTGGTCCTGATTCAAAATGTCCCTTTTTGTTTTGTGAACCCTTTTATAGAAGAAAAAATACTCGCACAAATAATATAAAACTTGGCTATGGATTGCCCACTTAGTAAGTCGTCGAGAACGACAGAGTTATTGCGATTTTTTAAATGTTGTTTTAGAAAAGTTTAATAATAAGTACCAGACGATCCATTAGCTGTTGACAATAGCTGTTTACAGTCCATAAAATGCACAAACAAATGTCTATTTTAAACGCTATGATATGTATCCTTTTTTTTAGAAATTTATCGATTTTAAGTAATGTATGATGTTCTTATAAATAATTAATTTTTTATTTGAACTTTTTTTCTCTTTTAGGTAAGTAAAGTAATAGTATGTGTTTTGTTAATAATAATTAAAAATACATTTTTTAAATTACCATCATTGATTTCATATTATACGGATAAGTAACATAAAATGCAGCGGGTTCATATGCATTTAGAAAATATTAAATGAGCTAAGTACTTTACTTCTAGTAAAAACGTGAATGAAAGAAAAATAACTGATCTTTGTTTAAATTGTTAATAATTAAAATTGGTCGTGTATTATTGTTTTTTTTTTAAGAAAATATAACAAGGGTAGGTAATATACGTATCTGTGCGCAGTTTCTAGAATTAAGAAAAATATTATGCATACTCTGATCGTTGGTTAAATAATTCATTAAGTTTAGATGCATTGTGCGTTATTATTTATTATTATTATTATTATTATTATTACGGAATACGGTTATATTATTGTTGCGACAGTATAGCAAATGTACATTAATATGACTGTACATGATTGCGCACTAAATATCATTACGATTTTCTTCTTTTCATCTAAGCTTAACTGCAATATTAAAAAAGAAATAACAATTTAGAAATTGTATACTTTTTTCAGATCCGAATAAACCTAGTGACTGAAAAATAGGACTGCAAGAGTAGAGGATGGTACCCACCCGTAATTCGTAGTTCGAAGACATGGTTCGCGCGAATAAACACACTGTAGAGGCTGGAATACTATTTTAAATTTACCACATTTTCACGGAAAGTATAAGAGAAAATTATATATGCTTAAGTATGGCAATGTTTTGAAAAACGGAATAATTTTTTCTTACGAATTTTTATGGTTCTGGTTGTTTTTTAGTCATTTTTAAGGAGTTATAAAAAATAATGGATGGTGTTAATAAAAATTAAAAGCACTGATATAGATCCTCTATTTACTGTGAAAATGTTGTCATTGTACAATAGTTCAAAGTCATTTTGGTTTTGATTCGAGCAAACCTATTTCGATTGAAACAAAATTTTTTTCTATAGAAATGACCATAAAGTCTTGTAAAAAAAATGATCGAAAAAGAAGCCTCGTTATAGTTATTAATAAGTAATTACTATAATTTAAGCTCTAAATAAAAAGTTTGCCTTTACTTTACTTTACTCCATAATAAATGGGTCGATAGTGTCTTCTTAAAAATAAAATAAGATTTCAATTGATTTAGGATTTTTGAAATTTTTTTTAATCGTGTAAGTTGTTAATCTGTTTATATAGTTATAATCAAATGTTTAGAGCGCAATCTTGTATAAAAAGAAATATATATATATATGTATATTATTTAAGTCTTAACTCTATTATTATTTATTTATGTTTTTTTGAAAGCTCTACCGAATGTTATCATATAAATACGAGTATTATTATATATATTTGCGTTAAGAATGTTTTTTTTATGATTATATATTTTAAAATCGATTTTTTTCGTTGTAGAAAAATATAGTTACATACGCAGTTCTAAAGCGAAAATAACTATTTTATATATAATATAATATTTAATATAAACTATATGTATTATTTTATATTATTACAAAGACAATAATTTAGACTTTATAAATATACAAACGTTAACAATAACTATATAATAACAAAAGAAAAACGGAGAAATTAAAAAAAAATTAATTAAGGCCATTACGCGCGGCGTATACAATCCTAGTATCTAAAACATTTCTTTAAAGTATTAAACGTATCCTAGGCATGAAATAAATCGTAGTCAATTTCACATACTTATATAGTCTGAGCAATTCTTACTAACTTCTAGTTAAGACATAAAAAAGGTAAATATATTATAAATATATATACCTATAGTAATATATTATAAATATAATATATAATCGTTATTATTATATAACTTTTTTTAATAATTCTATTTTATTAATCATATTCGTTATTCTATTAATTTTTAACATTATTGTTTTCTTGTATAATAATATATATATAAATATGTTGGTCTATTATTATTATAAATTGTATAACATAATTAATATTAACGCGCCCTGAGGTTTGTCGTACACATCGGTCGTCGCGTTATTCGTTGATGTCTTCTTGGTCGTTTGGCCCATTTAAAACGAGCGCTGACATATTATGTTAATTCCTGTAACAAAACGATTACATATTACTTAAAAACTGCCTTTATCGCTCGTTGTTTGGAGTATTATACGTAGGCATCGCTTAAGTCTGCATAGGTGCTATCGTCGCGACCGCATCCTAAAAGGCCAAAAAGACCCATATTTAAATAATGTTCAACCAGCCATAATGTACTTTAAATTCCCACGTTCGCTACAAAAATATTTGGATACTGTACGGATATGTGGATAGTACTTTATCAGTATTGGTTAAGATGTACGCTGACAGAAAAGTGGACAAATTCCGACCGGGATCGAAGTGCGGGCCGACACGCTCGGATATACCGCGATTACGATGCGCCGTGCTAGACGTTTGCAGATCAACTTTTTTGTTTTTTTTTTCCATATTATACAACAGCGCAGACATCTGGACGTCATAAACTATTATCGGCAGACTGTCAAATACTTAAGGCCAGCCAACCACGGATTTACGTCGCCGGGGATATAAGTACGCGTTATGTTTATAAATTAGCCGAACCGAACGCAAAACTAGTAATAGTACGTCATGTTACTGGCCTGGTCGTCCTTGGTTGCGTTTTGCTCCTTCGCGTTCTTCTGCTTTTTGTTTTTTTTTTATGCGTGGCTTTCGTTTTTATAGTTAACCATAAAACGACATTTCCATAAAAGTTCTATGTATTTTACGATTTACGCTTGTCCGTCCTAACAATAAACCGGAGAAATTCGCATACGGTTTTCGAGTGTGTGCGTGCGCTGTTATATTGTTGCTAGCGATATTATTATGGTTAAGCTCTTTCGTCACGGGCGCCAAACGTTGGGTTTAAACGAGTGCGAAATGGCGTTGTGATTTATCGCTAGGTCTCTGTTATTAAATTTTCGCCCGTTAAGACTATAATTTCGATATTAATATCATAATAACGGTTGCCAGTCCGTCGAAACTAGTCGTTAAACCTCGGAACTAAGATAATAATAATATGATCGTTTGGGTCAGTGGGTAGGTATTTTATCCGTACCTCGCGCCGATCTGTTTTTGCCAAGATGGTAATTCCTCGTGTTTTTATTGTTTTGCAGTTATTACCAATCGACCTCGAAACGCTTCCGAGATATAGCCGCCTAGGGTTATAATCGCTGGACCATCACCGAGTTTGTTAAGACTACTGTCATCTCGGATCAACTAGTATAGACTATAATACACATTAGGCATGGTAAAACATGTTATTATAAGCCAGCAACATTGTTACAGCGGTGAAATGACCTACAAAGAGACCACGTCAAATCGCTAAAGCCCAGTTGTACTTGGACATCAGTATTGATCAAGAATGAGTCCTAATCGTTTTTTGACCGGTAACAGTATGCGATCGATCAGGTGTAATGAATCCAGAATCGTTTACCGATGGGTGGCGACCGGGCGTAGGCTCAGCTTGACGGCTGTATGGGCTCGGGTACTAAATGCGGTGTCCGACTGCTGACTGGTGGCAGTATGGGACTCGTAGGCCAGTGGTAATGCGAAGCTCCGCCGGCACCGGTTGGTGGTACGCTGCGCGAGTGTGACATAACGGTAGATCCGTTACCCATGGCCATGCCTCCCGCGGTGCCCGGCGAAGGGAACATCAGCGGGTTGCCGCTTCCGCCGGGCGACGATGACGTGGACGCTTGTAGCTGGCCGGTCACTGCCGCCGACTCCGGATGCAGGAAGTTGCGCCTAGATTCGGTCGTCGACACGTTGTTGGCTTGACTGACCTGATGTTGTGCTATGCACCTGGTAAGTATCTCTGGCAACAACTCCAGCTAAACCAGAAAAAAAAAAACAATATTAAATCATTACCTCATGCCAAAGACTACATGAAGTTAGTCCACCCCCAATACTGAGGGAGAAATTCGATTAAGTTATAAAACAATCAAATTATTTGAAGTATTCAATTTATATAAAAAAAATTGATAATAACTAATATATCTACAAATTGTGCTTAAAACAAGTGTAATATTATATTCTTATCTCTGGGCCCTGAAATAAATCAATTTGGTTGGTAGCCTGTAGGTTTTATTGGCCAGATGAGGTATAGTATCTAATTTGACGTTGTATTCGGATTGTTTTACCAGTTCGTTGCTCGGTGTGCACCACATTGGAGGTTAACTATAGTGCTCACACTCACGGTATAAAGTGATTATCAAATGAAAAGGTAAAAGGTTGCATTTTAATAAGGAGGACTGTAAAAAATAAAATGATATAAATCATACTCGATTCCGTTACCACAAAGTGTACAGTTTGAAGATGGTTAACTATTAAGGCTGACGGTAAGCCCGAAACTAGACAAGATTCTAATTAATACATAAATAAGAAATTATATATATATATTTTTTCTACTTAGGTTAAGTGTTTAAAGAACCAGAGGTAGTTGTAAAATGAAGTCTTTAAAGGATAACTAGTTTTATGTTAAGTGGCAACAAATATTTTAACTTTACTCTGTAGTAATAATATTTTTATTAAAAACTATTATTTTTAATTATAGTATATCCGCAGTATTTTATAAGTAATTTAACAGTAAAAAAAGACAAGTAAAACTTTGTCCTATTATCTTCACAAGTCAAATTTATGCACAGGGCTGTAAAGCATTCTTTAATGCGCCCCATAACACTGGGTCAAACTTATTAATTTACTGAGTCACCTAGCCCAAGTATAATCTATACGTCAACACGAGCATGACTAAGAACAAACCGTAGCTTATTTTTCTCTCGATTCATTTTAGTCACGTTATTATGTCATTATGCTGATGTGGAAAAGTTTTTTTTTTAAATTAAGACTAATCTAATTTCGATTTTATCACGTCACTTGCAATTTATCTCTCTGGAAAAATATTTTTTTCTGTATTTAGCGATGATGACGAATTTATTTACAGAGGAGATTCAATCACTAGATATCGTGTAATCACGTGGAAGCTTTTTTTCGAGTTTTACACGTTTGGGCTAATTTAAAAGTCGGCTTTATCCATATATTTGGTCGATCCGACGTAATTTACAAACTTCTCCCTCAAAAACCCGGAAAAGTCTACATTAGTTTCAACACAAAATTGTTCGCGTGAAAAAATTGAACTATTTATAAACATATTATTAATTACTCATTTATTATACACCACGAATGGTCAAAAAGTTTAATAAAAAACGATTTTATAGTATACCTTCTTTAGTATTTATCTCATTGAAGTCATAAAATAATAAACACAACAAAGGTTATAGAACATTTTGTCTGGTTTTATAAGTAGGTATATACTAATTATTATATGCATCTAGATTTTGCATTAGGAAATTTCTCAGGCTTATTAGCTAATAATTTTAATTACGCTGTCTGGACGACGGACAATAGTAGTGTACCAATCATAAACAATTGTATATAATTTAGATACAAATAATGAATTATGCACCTGTTCTTGTAAGGCTACTAATTTGTCTTCGAGGTTCACCAAACGTTCTTCGAAAGCGTCGTATCGATTACTCATATCTGATACGATTTCATATACCGTGTTCTGCGTCTGAAACCATATTAATCAATTTTCTTTATATTTATCATTCCGTTGATGCAATTGGAGGCTTACTTTAGCCATATCTGTTATTGTATTCGCGTTGTCCATTAGTTTTCTTTGGTCCATTTTAACTTTTCTTAACCTGTGCAAAAACGTACGGATTCAATAAAATAGTAAAACGCGTTGAATATCTTACAGACAATTTAAATATATATATATATATAGTGCATCATATTGTCTATAATCTAAAAACGAACAAATCTAATTATAAATTAACGTTTTTATTTAATTCTGTACTCTAAACATGGTACTACTTAAAATAAAGATATATGAATAATTTTACCCCAAGTTATAGAGTGGATGGATATAGTTAACAAAAGTACAACTTAAAAGGGTCTAAGCAAAAAATGTTTTGTCACCAATAGTCAAACAGGGATGTGGAGTGGGCAAGAGGACAGAGCCCTCATAAACCATACGCATATTAAGCAAATCCTAATGTATCAGTCTACACATTTTTAAATAATTTTGCTATAAATTTAAAAACTTTTAAAAATGTTCACTATTCACTATTCATATTCATTAATAAATATTAGCTTACGTTTTATTTTACTAACATTGTTAATACAGTGAGATTTTAGAGGGTGGAAGTTAGCGACTAGACTTGAAAAACGATTTCTCTCTGAGGAAGAACCTTTATTGACGTTTCATAATTTTTTACCTATCCAATTAAAATTGATTGATGATTGTTGTTTTCTATTAGTTGTTTTATAATTGCGACCCGAATTATTAAGTGGTTTTATTTTTGTTCTTTTCAAATGTTATGGTCTAGTTTATTTTAGGTTTTTATTTCTATTCAAAAACCAACAGCCGTTACAGGGTAAGGGAATAAAAACATAATATTATGTACTGTAGAAGAAACATAGGTGTGAAGTAATACTGAAAAAAACTGACAAACTCACGCGTATATGGCCAGTAAAAATTTTCGTTGGTGTGTTCGAACCCTGCCTGCGTTCACCCTTTTTACAAGTCTGGTGTGTTTGTAGATCAGCCACGTCTCTCGGAGTACATTGGCCGCTGCATTTTTCAGCTACAAACAATAATAATAATAATAAAAAAAAAAACGTTAACAAAATAACAAAAAACCGAATATTGATTGATTTTCGTTGCGTTAAGGCCTCTGGATACCGACCATTTTTAAGGAGTTACATTCAGTGTATTTTTGTATGGGCAATATTTAAGAAAAAAGTGGTTTTAATAAATTTCGACGATGTCAATTAATTTGCCGGTTAATTTGTATAAGCTTCGTGGTATTATTTTTAATTTAAATCATTTTGTCTATGAGTAAAAGCCATTTTACTTAATATAATAGTACACTTTTTGTCCATCGCATAATTCATTTATAATGCATTGGCTCTGCCAATGATCCGATAAGTAATCTGAAAACAGATTTGAATTCGTCATGAAGTTGATTTGACATCGGTCAGCGTACTTTTTTGATATCTTATTCCTACTACGCACAAAATACGTTTGAACATTTTATAAAATTTCAAATTTTAAAATAAAATTTGGAAACGGTTAAAATTAAAAATTGAAAAAAAAATACTCTGACCGATCAAGTAAACTTCATGACGAATTCATTTCGGTTTTTAGATTGCTTATCGGATCACTGGTACGGCCTGTGCGATGGATAAAAATTATGTGTTTTGGCTGAAAAAAACGGTCGGTATCCAGGGGCCTTAAAATAACATTTCGGTTCAAGCAAATTAGAAGGATTGAACGGTGAGCGTACTCGTTTTGTGAGTTGAGTGTCCATCATGAAATTGTGGACATGCTTCTCTGCCCTAGACAGTTCCATCTTACGGGACACGACGGCCACCAGAAGAGCCGTGCAACCAGCACCCTGTAAAACGTTTTTTTAGAAGCTTTAGTATACAGGCAGTAACCGACTGGTATTCCATGGAATGATAATCAGCTAACATTATAATATAGTCTCGTTAATTAGATATTGATTATTGTGTATTAGATGGTGAAAGCCATTAAACATTTGTACATGCATAAATTAAACACTTTTTTAAAAAAGTGTAAAATATTTTAATTTTTTAAAATATGTTTTGGTTGTTAAAAATTAACAATTAACAGTTGGGCAGAAGTCCGGAAAGATAATATCCGAAACGCGCACTCTTTTTCTACGCTGTCTACGATAGTAGACAAAAATCAAAACAAAATGTATAACTGTTGTACGGTTTTCGGGCTGTGTGGGAGTATTTAATTAAATGCTTGACGACAGTATTATTAATTTTACAAAAATATATTACATAATAGCTGGCTAGACATGCAAAACGTAAAATACTCGATGAACTATGTATATATTGGTTAAATAATAATAATACAAAATAAACGCTAATAATTGTTTACATTAATAATATATTAAGTACCTAAAAAGATATCGTTCTTTGGACTGATAATTATTAAGTAAGTATATCATATTAAAAGCGTAGTGTTTAACTCTTGTTTTTTTTTTTGTATTGAACATTTAATCGTTGGCGATCGATGTAACTGCACTTTTGTTTTGTACGTCACATTTACGACTAACGGTGGACCCACCATTGCTCGTTGCCATGCTCCAGTTTATATTATGATAATGAATATTGTATTATATTCTTTCTATCAACGGGAAACTGGGATTCCGCGAAATTAAAAAAAATATTCGATATCAATGTGTAATTGGAGTCGGTATGGTTTTATTGTCGATGCGTGCGTTGTCTGACGAACTAAAGATACATAATATGTTTTTTAATGTTATGTTGTTTTCCGATTTTCCCTCGACCGCTCACATAAAATTATATAAAACAAATCATTATAATAATTAATATATATATATATATATTAATATATATATATTAATAGTAATAGACAATATTATAAATATTTGGTTTTGTGTATTAATAATCAGCAAAGCGTTGCCCACGGCGTATTATACAGTATTATCATGCAATATTATTATATTATATTATTATAAATAAGGAATATAGTTTCACATAGTTTCCTGTACAGTTTTATACAAAACAAAATGTTAAATGTGCATCTCGAGTTAGTATATTTACACATATCAAAGCTGGAGATAGATTAGATTGTTATAGAATTTGTTTTGTTCGAATTCTGCAGTATGTCATTTTGGTTATCGGTTTATATATGTTTTAAGTGAGTGCAATCAGTTAATATTAGTTTGTATTAGAAAGATAAAGCGTGATGCATTTGAAATTGCGTGGCATTCAGATATAAAATGTTGTTAGTGTTTGCACAAAATAATAATAATAAGAAAAGAGATAACAATAATCTTCATAATACATATTATAGTGTTGCTACCTTTGTGTTAAAATAGATAAAGGGATTATAGTTTACCTAGATAATTTTATACATTTATTGACGAACCTCCTCAAAAACAAAATAACAAAACGTATACTAATAATATGTTACCGAGTGCGCCCGTGTACCAAGTTTGCCTATACGATACGCCGTGTGAAAAAGACCGAAGTATTATATATTACAATAACAACATTAATATCAGTATAGTATTTATCAATTAAATAATTGCGTGTGATATTATTTTGCCTAAGTCTAGAACAGTGCGTCTATGCCATAGGAAGTGACTAATTTCTAAGTATAAAATAATAGTCGTAACAATAACAATAATAACAAATTAAAATCAACGATAATAATCAATTATATCAATTACAATACACTTTGTACACAATAACATTTTATTAACCCTTTCAGGACGGCCGACTTATACATCCGTCAGGTAATAGTCGTGCCTACCAGCCGGCTTACGTATTTTTTCGTTTTCTTAAATTTTTCATTTTAATTTTTATCGGCTGACAGGACCGCCCACTTCTCGACGCTCTCCGTACCGAAAAGGTTAATAGTATTTATTCATCTATCTTGCCTAAAGCGCTATCGAAACTACTGTACAACGTGTATAGGAAACAAGTGAGGGGGAGGGGGGGGGTGTAGTGTAGGAGAAACTTATATTTTTTGACATTCCTGTCACAGATTAAATGGCGGGACACTTGGAATGTGCATCGTCCTTGCTGTCCGTTTGATAAAGATTAAAGATAACATAGTATAATATGTATGAGTGTATTGATTTCGTGTGTCTTATAGAAGCGTGGTTGATTTAATAATAAATGAAAAAATTATAACATTTAAAAACATGTATCCTCCTAAGCCTTTGTTGTCCCCTGGGTGGTCAGCGGCATACTTCGCCCGGGAAAGTCGAACGTGTACGTTCAAAGTGTCCCCGCAGAGCTAGTTCAATGCATTTTCTAAGCGGTGAACGGGCAAGAATGATTTTTTTATCGTTTATCTTTTATGCATATTCTTAAGTGAAGCAATAGGCCGGAAAGGATCTCTCGGATATCGTTCGGGCGGTTTTTTTTTGTACTGCAGGAATCGGTCTTACCATTATGCCGGTGGTGACCGCAATGCCACGACCGCAGTAAGTGTTTGGCACTATGTCTCCGAAGCCCACGCTCAGGAACGTGATCGCTATGAACCACATGGAGTTCAGCAGGTTAGCGTGATCTTCATCATGAAACCTACAGAGCCCCATCATATACATATACATAGAGAATTGATCACACAACCCAGAATTCGTAAAATTTTTAAATCAAAATAAACAAATATAAAAAAAATCATAAAATGTTATCATTACAACATTGTCATAAAAAAAGAAAATATTATTATAATACATTATTATTTGCTCTCTCTTGCACGCGATACCTACCGAGTATATTTTGTTTTTCTTTTACTTATTATTAACCTATCGACTCCAAAAAACACATCGATACGCCTTATCGTGAATTCATTAACTTTGCTATGTACAGTATCGTTTCTGACGCATAAAAAACAAAAAGACAATAACACAATCATCGCGTTTTGTTACAATATTAAATTTCATATATCTTTTTTTTTTATTTTCCTTCGAACGCGTTATTTTAAAATATATTGTCGATATTAATAATTTTTAAATACAGGGAATTTTTAGAATTGACCGAACATAATTCTCCGAGTAGTGTATTAAAGTCCTATAAACTGTTGTTACTAAAAGGTCACCGAATCTGACGATTTAGTCCGGGGTAACCCGTCCGATAGACCGACACGACGCGTTCAACACAATACACGTATTGTATTGCATTATCCTTGTCTAAAACATAATATTATTACATTGTAATGTTATACAATAGCGGCCACCGGGTCCAAAAGTTATTCGATTGGCTTCGGTCGGGTTTGTTAACGGCTTTCCGAAGTGAATATAAACTTCTAAAACTTTATACCGCGACAACATTATACTATATTGTAAAGTTAGTGGAAGCTGGTGCCAGGAGATAATCAATTTACACGGCAATGGCGTGTCCCTTATTGAAAATTGGCTAACGAAAATATTAGTAATTATTATTACTGTTCGATATTCGGTAGAGAAATTATATTCTGGGATACCCACGTGATGCTAACAAAACTACTACTGATCGGAAAGGACGAGAGAGGAAATTCCTTTGACTTTTCACCGACTACATTTTCGGTTAACAATTATGACGTGAACCCACCCGGACGATGTTATAATTTTGCTGTGAGTTGTCTACTATACACCTATCCTGCTGCAGTATATTGTAATAACATTAATAATATAATATAGTCAGAGTGTAAACAGTTCGCTTTTAATAAGGAAAATACATTTAAATATATTTTTTTTATTAAGGTGTACAAAATAAATTATATATAATAGGTATAATAGTGTGGGGGTATTCTAAAAAAAAAAAAAAAAATAGAAAAGACACCAAAAAGGCCGATAACTCGAGAATACGAGTAAAACTATAAAAAAATACCATACGATTCATAAGGGTAAAAAATTAAAAGCACACGCATGGCTGTGTGTGTACATGATTTTGTTTTTGTATCTTGTGGATGTGTTGGTTTCAGTGTGTACAGGTAAACGTGTTTTGTGTCACATTATTAATCTTACCATAATACCGCAAGACAGCGTGATGCCTCGTCCGCAGTACGTGTTTGGTACAATGTCTCCGTAGCCTACACTGAGTAATGTGATGGCTATCAGCCACATGGAGTTCAAGTAATTGGCGTGATCCTCGTCGTGGAACCTGTGTGTAACATATACATTTGTCCACACTACTCTACCCACTGCTGGCTCAATCGGCACAGCGGTGGAGTTTAATACTTATGTAGAATATACACACAATTATGCCAGTGAAATCTTCTCTGGCACAATAATATTTATTAACAACAATTATATTACATTCATCATAATATTGTATAGTATTAAGTACTCGTTCAAAAAAAAAAAAAAATATATAGTGTACAATCATTACTGTTGTTAACAATTTACACACATGTTTGTTTCAGTAGTGCATTAATAATTATTTTATGTTGTATGCCTATCTAGGGTAAGTTGAATTATGAAATATATATATAAATATATAACACAAAAACGTACAAGTACATCAATAACCATAAGTAGTAGAGAAATTTCATAGAAAGAAAAATGTTAGGCGAGCTGTTTTGCCGGTGGGTGCCTTGGGGCTGTTTCTAGGGACGTGGGGTAGCGGCAGAGAAGCTCATGGTTTATTAAAGTAAGATTGTTAATGTGTTTTCGTCGTAATACTTGGAAACCACTCGCCCTTCATGCGGCGGGCCGGTTCTGCACTAAGAATAATAATATTAAACAGAAAAAAGCACGCAAGAAACGGTTAATTGATGTTGTACCAATCGATACGGTTAATTTTCATAATAATATAGCCATTAAAGATGTTTTTTGATGGGTGGGGTTGTAGCACTATTATTATTTTTTTTTTTATTACATCGGATTAATGTGGAAATTGATTTTTCACTACATTTGTATTTCCAACTGATAATAACGTGACCGATAAGTGATTAATTATTTATGGATCGTGCGTCAAGGTTGTTTTGGTGTCAGTTTTTTTCGTCGTGGATAACGTGTGCCGGTTATAATTTTCTAATTTAGCTTATGTACTCGTGCCGTTACGTCATAATATACCTATGCATACAATAGTCGACTAGCAGCAAGCCGACGGTATATTCTTTTTCAAAGGGTGATTTATTAAATATAAGCTAAAAACGTACACGCCGACGCATTGGATATGTAAACCGCGGCTCGTAGTTAGTGAATCATTTGGTGTACACGCTGTGTTATATTATATTGTTATGTGCCGACTAGTTATTTTTCCCTTTTTATCGCGACTCGAGTAGGTTAGGCAGATACACACTGTGTAATGCGCGGTGGGTAAAAAAAAACCACGCTTTTGTATAAGGTCGTGGCAGCGTGAATTGACACATACTCAAAAGTTTGTATAACCGGTGTTAATTATGGATCACTGTGCGGGTACGGGTAATAGGCGTTACCTGATGAATCGGCGTCACGGTTGACCACGTGCGGCGGGCAAGCTGAACACCGGGGATATTTTGTTTTTCGCGTTATTCCGTTATTGTTTTCACAGTATTATAAAAAAATTATTGCGGAGGTGGAAATATATTATTATTATGTTTTTATATTTTTTTATAAACGTTATACAAAATCAATACTCGCCGGCGGGCGATGTAGGTTCATTTTTACAACATGCATATCCGGCATTATCGCGATGGTCGTTAAACGTTCATTATAATTTTATGTACCGGCGACCAACGTGTTGTATAATATATGTATATTTACCGACAGGGCACGTTAGTTATAATACGGTCCAGTGTAACAATTAAACGCCGCGCCGGCCGGGATATTGGCGATTTTAGTGTGGAATTATTATTTTAATTTGATTTCGTTGAACTGTGTGCGAACATTGTGCTGCAGTTGTTGTGTCCGTGTTTTCGACTCGACCAGTTGTTCTTAAACGGTTTTCTTGCGATATTTTCTACCACAATGCGCGCTTACCGGCCGATCCAAGAAGAATTAATATTATGCAATTATACGCGTTGACGGCTACAGTTAATCGAGTATCGCCGCCGGCGGTCGTGATAATCATGATAAAGTCATCGTTATCATAATCTTAATGGTCGTGGTGTCGTTTGTTTGGCAGTTTTGATAATAGAATAATAATTGTTACTGTCGCTGGCGGCAATCAGACAACTGAGTTATTATGAAAAAAAAAAAATTGCGGTCATCATAAAAATGAATACCCTTAAAAGTCGGATGTGACAATTAAGCCGGAAACGACGGCCTGTGCGTCGTTTTATACCGTTTTGCGTTTGTGTGTGTGTGTGTGGAAACGAAGAAGCGAATGCAAAAATAAAAAGGACGTAGCCGTGGTTTTCTTTGGCGGGTTATTCGAGTGCACTTGAAACGGCACGTCAAAACCACTCGAATATACAATCGCGGAGAAATGAAAACTTCACGGTTTATTATTGTTGTCGACTCTATCGTTATAATAATATGTATATATATATATATATGTTTATTATATGTCTTATCTCCGCCGATCATGGCTGATGATGAAATCTAGTGCATAAAAATCTATCAAATCCGACCCGCGTCAAAAGATAATCTCTAAAGGCGTTAAAACAATAACGATTATATTATCTTCCAAAGGTTCTGCGCACTCATATTTTATATTTTAACTTTTGTCGTATCCAGCGACGCGACGGTCAAATTATTCTTGACGGCTTTCTCGGATTAAAAGAAATTATATGAAACATTTTTCTCAACAGACAGTGCCAGTAGGTTGAGTGTTGAATATTTTATCGGGATCTCGTTGAGATATGATTTAATGGATAATGTCTAGAGACTAGGAGTTGAAATATGCACAAGTCGGCTACAAGAATGCTCAATCAAGAGTTAAGCCAACAAAAAACTTTCGCCTTCCCCTAGGGAAATTGTCGAACCAAACTCGCAGGGTTAAGAAATGTTGCTTATTTTCTTATTTCCAACGGCGGTTGAATAGTAGGTATAATAATAATAATAATAATTATAATCATAATAATACTATCGTATCGGTATATTCTCAACTTATTCCACATAAATCTGAAAATCCTAACCATCATATTCTCTCTGTAACCAACCCTAACATTAAGAAAGTACAACATTCATATTTTTATGATGTTTTGATAGTATGTATAAACATTTGTGTTATTATAGTATCCCAACTTTAACATGATATAAAATAATAAAAATGTTGAGAAATAGTTATAAAATATAATATTGTTTCGTTGGAACTAGATAATTCTGTCCTTGGGTTGTAATAACTATTATTTGTTTTAACTAAGTCAAAACTTTTTCTTAAACACGAGTTTGCGTTAGGAGTAAACGGTTGAAATTTTTTTTAAAAAATACGGGTTTTTTAACATTTCGGTTACAGTACACACAGGAGGATCATTAAAAATACAATAAAATGAAAACGGATGCTTAAAAAAATAATAGGCTTTAATAAGGGTTTGTCGGTGAAAAAAGAATTCACCCGTTAATATATAATTTCCCTTGAGCCGCAACGGTATTAAGTGTGTCAGTTGTTCAAGTTCGGCTATTATAATATTATGCATGTTATGCAGCTATTGTGTTTTGGGTTGGCATGAATTTCTGTTTGGTCAAAGGTGTTGAAATCAATATTGTTGTAATGTTTTACATTTTTTTTTACTAGATGCATATTTACTCGAATGACAACGGAACGGTTACAGAGTTATAACTTATAAATAGGAACGACAATTATAATAATAATGTCGAGTTTGCTCGTGGAGATGCGATAAGAAATTGTGTTACTGTCTCTGATTTTGCGCTTCTCGATCGATACAAGCTAATCATATTATAATAATGCAAATATAACAATATCATTGTTTAATTATAAATTTGGTGGATTTGGTCTAGACGTCGAAGAATTCTTCAGGTTTCGCAACAGTTCAAGGTATCGCAACGTGATCAGATTCTTAAAATCATTGCAAGATATACCCACGTGATTCCAGAGTTGTTAATTTCACGACGAACTAATCTAATCAAAGGTGAAACATAAAAAAGTATGCTGTGTACATTTTACATGTATACATTTTATTGAGTAAATTTGACGAACAAAGTTATGCGTATACCTATCGATATACTTTTATGGATCTGTATAAGCTACAAGGGAATTGATGAGTCGTATATTATATGGAGCACTATAAAATATACTATCGTCTTTTATATCTGTTTAAGATTTAAAAAAAAAAAAAATGGAAAATACCTATTTTGTGCAATGTGCACTATCTGCTTTTTGATGGCCTAGTTCGACGGATATAGACATAATGCAGCGTTGTCGGAAATAGTCCCTTTATTATTATTTTTTAATGGATTTAAAAAAAAAAAAATTCTTTGGTCTGTACACGATTTATAGACAAAAAGAAAATTAAAAAAACCCGTAATAAAATAGTTAGTTACTTTCGGTAAAACACATTATAGTTAATTCTGCGGTTTTTTCCCTGAAGAACAGTAAACTAACACTGGTTAGTTTATCGTTTCTATACTGTAAGAACTTTTACGTTTTATTTGAAACATTTGAAATAGGTTTTTCTACATTTTAAAATAACCTTTAATACTTAAAAAATGTTAAGACTCCTTGGAATAAATTGAATAGTTACAGAATCTTTGAGTTTACAAAATATATTTTATTGTATAAATTAATTCGAACCCGAGAGTTATCATTCAAATACTCTCCAATATGTTTATACTCTATAGCAACGTTTGTAATATTAGCTTCGAGTTAATGTTGGTTAAAAAATTACATGATAGAAATTGAAGGCCAGGAAATATAATATTATATAATCTATTATTTTAAATATATATAAATAAATAATCGTTAACGTATAGAACTCGCAGTGTGTGGAGATTAACAACGTGCACGTGTACTATGATTGTTGTTTATAGTCTGTATACGGGATTGACCAAGAGTGGGAGAGATAACAGGAAGGGGTTAGACGTTACCTTGAACTGTCGCGAAAGAAGGGTTCGTTCGTTAAATTTTCACGAACACCGCGATTTGCCGAACGGGGGTCGGTAATGTTAAAAATTAGAGAGAACTCGACGATGAAAAAACAAAATAATTGTAACACGGAATGAAACCTAAGTATAATAATTTTGATAAAATATAGACGGTAAAAATCAAATAAATGAAAAATAATTAAAATCGTCTCCGACGCGTTTACCTCTCGCACTGTCTAAGCGTCCAGCTGGCGATGATCCACAGGGACACCATGAACACGAGCAGCACCGTGCCCGGGCAAATGGTCATGAGCGTCTTCAGCACAAACCTCGTGTTGAAGTTGATGCGGTTCAATGCACCTATGCTGCGGGACGACGCGTCCGTGAACAGTTTGCTGTGCAACAACATCACCCTGCAGATCAGGTACAGCCGGAAGAACATCGGCAGCGACAGAGGCACGTCGTACGGCACCCACCGGGTCTCCAGCTTGCCGTGCTTGTTGGCCAACTTGGTCTTCCACTCGAAGTAATACTCGCCCGGGATCGGATGGATGGCGCATATGACCAGCTCCATCGTGATGGTGGCTATTCGCTGCCAGGTCATCGCGATCCGCCAGTCGTCGGCGCAATTGTCGATCATGAACAACTGTAGAAAGTATAAAAAAAATCGACTTAACGTATGCGACTGACAGTGTACAGCTGTAATAAAACGGCAACAAGGCCAGCTACTACGCTGTATGGAAATGAGCGTTAGGCACTGTATAAGAAAACAGATAGATTTGGTTTGGCCGTGTTGGAAAAAAGAGAGGAAAACGAAACGGTAGAAAAAGTCGGAGAAATGGGCATCCCTCTAAGCGATATGGAGGTATGTCGATAAATAGATATTTGTGGATTTGACTAAACAACCTCGTTTAAGGCGAAGAACAACAACAATACACGTTTTATACAGTAACTATAATTGTAAACAATTTCGTGTACCTAATACCTGATATGTATTTAAATGGTTCAATTGTTTGTTGTTAGTATTAAATTAATATTAGCATTCATTTTTTATGTAGACCCATTGGAAAAATAAAACTTAAAACAGTGAGGTAGTGGAGGACACGGGTCATCAGGAAATTTAATAACTGAATGTTCTAAAATCGCTAAAAGAAAACGCTGACTCAAACTGAAGTTGTAAAGTCTATGAAATATAAATTTACATCATCTCTAAAAAACAAAATGAAGAAAAAGTTTTAACTCATTCTGGATCAAAGGGTTAATGACATTTTATTGGTTTTTAAATGTAGTGTTACATCTAACAAATATCCTATTCAAATTTACAAGTATTTCCCTAAAATATACAGGCTGATCGAATTAATTTGAGACACATTAAGAAAATTAAAATTTTTTTTTATATTTTTTAGGCAAATTTCTGAGTTTTATTAATTTTTAAAACCTGAATGGTATCGTTTATATTTTATTAACTATTTATTTTAACTTAAAAATAGTTTACTAAAAATGTTGTTTGTTCGATAACCAGTTTTAAATAATTACTTTAGACGAAGGAAATGCAATGGTAATCATGAATACTGAATGATGCGGGCGATACGTTCAGCAACTCTTAAGGATCGGTCAAACAGAAAGCGGACAGGTCGCCGGTCCGCCGCGGACTCTGTACTCTATTTAAATGCATCATTCTGGTTAAACTGACAGCGGCCTACCGCGGCGGACTAGTATAGTCCGCCGCGGACAAACTGATGGTTGTATGTTTCCACAAAGTTGGAATAATTTTGTAAAATAAAAAAAATATAATATATATTTAATATAGACAATACACTGGATTTTCCACACGTTTCAGCACTTCTAAAATATTATTATTATTAATATATAATTATCGAACATAAAATATACAAACAATATTGATGACAACATATTGTACTTAATTTAAACATTTTTTTCATTTTAAAATTGTGCACTGAAAATGACCGATGAAACGGAACGATTGATTGATCTAGTTCGAGAATGCGTTTATTTGTATGATACGTAGCATCCAGATTATAAAAAAAAACAGAAAAATGGACAGATTTGACAAAAGACTGGTATCAACACTTCACAAAAATGTAAAATTTAATACAATTTTTCAGCCGAGTCTGCAACCACGAATGAGCATTTTCATGTCTCGTTGAAGTACCAAATAAATTTAAAGTAGTGGTGGAATTATAGATAATGGTAGATAATGATATAGTATATTTAACAAGCAGTAACAAGCTCGTATCTAAGGTGGCTAGTATATTAAAACATCAAGTTTCTGGCTAATATTTTAGTGTTTAATATCTGGCTTAAAACCATTCATAAAAATATGACCTCTTAAATGATTGAATTCAATTTAGTTCAGTTCTAGTTTGAACGTTTAAAACACAGCATAGTCGGTGAAACTCGCCAAATTCTATTTTTTTTTTTTTTAGTTCATGTACCCATTTTCTTTTTTTTCGTCTTGCTTAACTCAAGGCAAGTAGAAGAATCTAGACATTTTGTAAAAGAAAATGAAAACAGAAAACGTTAGATAAAAAAGTAAAAAATAAAAAAACAACCAGCAGTACACTCTTGGTTGTGGCAGTTTTCACACTGGTTCGCTCAAACTTGTCCGCATTCTGTTTGACTATCCCAGTCCGCAGCGGACTAGCGCACTAGTTGGACGGACCCTGTCCGCGCGGACAGTCCGCTTTCTGTTTGACCGATCCCTTAGTGCGGAGCATACAACAATAACCAGCACGCAACACAGCCCGGAAAATGGACGATAAAATGCTTCCGAAACGTGGGCAAAGCGAAATTGCATATATAGGTATAAACGTAAACTATGTAATTATTTAAAAAAAATACTCTACACAAACTTTAACCAAACTACATTCGTTAGTTACAATACTTATTGAACTGGACTAATTTGAGGTTTTTCGAACAATTTAATTAGTGTTTCTACTCGGTTGGCGAAGAGTCTAATGCTTTATCAAAGCGACATAATATATTTTAGTCGTTCAAAGCAATTTTAATTTTTTGTAATAAACACAAGTTGTGAATGCGAATAATAATTTTGGCAGGGGTGTTGTGAAAGGCGTAGCTGAACTTTGTGTACAAGTTTGTGTATGAAATATTTCATTATTTTATTTCTTAACTATAGTGATTATTAGTCTAAATTCTAAAATTGTATAAGCAAACAACATAATACAGTCTGTAAACGTTATGGTATTAACTACAAAGAAACTATTATTATTTATTAAATAAAATTATGTTTTAAATTTTTATTTTTATTTACCATTATGTTTTATTTGACATTAATTCCAAAATGCATATGTTTATGCTAACTCGTTATAGTAACTTTACTTGGGTTTGATATTTTATTCGGGATCTCGTGTTTTGTGTTAGCATTCATATCCTACAGTTAACAGTGATACAGGAAGAAGAAAATCCGGATCAACATCAATGTTAAATTTCAAACGTCATGAATAATGCAAATCGAATAGGATTTTGTCCAAGATTATTGTTTTTCCTCTCTCCCTACATGGCATATAAAAAAGCGAATAGAAATACTCGGGTTATTGCCTCTAATAAAACATAATTTATAGTGTACCGGGAACTCTATTGAAAGGAGCAAATGTAGGCTAGTCGGGCTTGTTTTGTTTTTAACTACATTTCCGACATGATTGGCTGGTTCGAAAATACATTATTATCGACGTGATATTGTTTTGTAGTTTTATTTAACTTGCGTTGGGTTTCTGTTTTCAGTGTGTATGTGTTCGGACATTTATTGCACAATGATAAAAGTATAAATGTGATTAAATTTTCAAACGAGAGAACACGAATTGAGCAACTGATTTAAACTGGGCTTCTTTTAATTCCCCGAGTGCTTTCATAGTTATTACTCGTAATTATATTGGTTTGGATTAGTTCGATTCAGTGACTTCGACAACGACTGGATAGCGGTTAGCATGGTATAATGCTGTTTGGTTATTATGCCAATATGATCTTGGACTAACCGTAGCCTGTGCTTGATTGCAAAGGGGACTAATCCGAATTTACAAACATCTCTGTTAACACCACCCAGCTGTTGTTTCAAATGATAAACACACAAGTGAGATGGTCTTCTTCTTCTCTGGCATCACAACTCTTTGAGAGTTTTTGCCGCCACCGACACCACCTTTCACTCTTCTCGATTTTGTACTTTTTCTTCCCAATTAGGTATCCCTAATTTCTCTAAGTCCTATTCCATCTATCCATCTTCCCTATGGGTTTCCACTCGACCCCCGCTTTTAGGTACTCTGAGTCCGACCTACTCATCACGTGCCCAAACCATTAGATTTTTTGTGTTTTCACATAGTTGGTTATCCTCGAAACTCATGTCAATTTTGATGCGATCTCTTTGTTCCTTCTTCTACGCCAGCATTCCAGTTCGTTGTTATATACTGGATCACAGATGATTCTCAGTATTTTGTTTTCGAACGACATCAGTTTTTGCTCCAATCGGCTTGTTAATGACCATACATCGCATCTATATGTTAGGTGTAAGCGAGGCGGTACAAAAAAAAAATCAACGATTACCTGACTGAACTGTGTACGTATGTATGTTTTTGTAAGAGGCTTATTTCATATTCCGGACGTAAATCCAATTTAGTTGTCGGATGAAGATGTAGGTATAATATGTTACTTGTTGAGTTTGTAAATTATGTTTAATATTTTATTTTATTTTTCGTGTGCAGTCACCTCTGTTTAAAAAATTAAGTTCATATTTCCTATATAGGCTTCGAACAAACAACTACTTGGCTATATTTTTTTTTACATTTTTAAATGTTCATTTGTATAGATAAAGAGCTAAAAAGCGGTTGTTAAAGAGCTTTATTAAGGTAATATTTAGGAAAAAATCAGTATTAAAAAATTTCGAAAATGTCAATTTATTTTCTAGTTTATTTGATATGCTTCATAAATTATAGTATTATTTTTAACGTGTGTAATTTTTTCTACGTGTTAGTCATTTGCAGGTAAAAAATGGTTTCACTGTGAAACAAAATTGTATGACTTTTGTTGGTCCAATTTCAATTCTATAAAAAGATAAGAATTTGTTGGCCTCTTAACTCTTTACTAGATTGTGTAAAAAAATAATTTTCATTCAAAAAAATGTTTTTGAATAAATTGTTATGTTGTTGATTTATCAATATAAAAACGCAATTTGTTAACGCAAATAATAAAAGCCCGTTTCCAACATAACCTAGTGAAGTAATTAAAAAAAAAATCGTACATTTCTATAGAATTGAAACCGGACCATCTTAAGTAGTCAAAACGTCAGGCTTTTTAGTCTTAAATGTAAAAAAAAACAACCCGCTTACCATTCTATTCATTCCTTTAAAACAAAAAAAATATCAATTACACCTTTTACCATAAAAAAAAGAATAACCATTATTTCTAGTTATATGATATTTTAGTTTATATAGGTTTATGTATTACACAAATTTATTTTGTATTTCTTCATAGTCTTATATAAATACATATTAATATACACGGGCGTCTATTAAGAGTTAATACTTAGGATATAAGATAATATTATACAATGATATAAAATGATACAATACGCTTACCTGTACTTCGAGTGCGTGGTATGCCATGATTAGTCCTAACAAAATGATGGTGGATACGGATATGAGCGTTTTCAGTGACGTAGAATAAAACGATGTCTGAAAAATAAAATAACATGGCCGTTACAAATTTGTGTTAAACAATATTTTTCATAAATCATATGAAGGCGATTTAAGTCATTAATTTTTCACTTACACTATAACACGCGTTGGTCTTATTATATTTCCCAACAATGTTTATCAAAGGGAGAGCGCGATTTTCATGTACCTATTCTATACAAGACCCACACGGGGTATTTACACGGGGTATTTTTGTGCAATTAATAAATTAAGGTTGCCGAAAAAGTCTCGAAGTGTCCTAATTTCACGGGTAAAAGAAAAACGTAATGGTAACGGGACACGTTCAAAATAATAGAGTAGGTACACGTTATATCCAGAATTCTCAGGATATTGTGTGAAATTTATAAATGGATTTTCTAATAGACTCAATTTATTGTTCGGCGAAAATTATTAGAATTTACGTTCTTTATTATATATTTCAATTCGGCTTCCAGAAAAGGTTGGTTTTCGGAATTAGGGAACATTATTTAGTTAAGCTTCCCGGATAATCTTGACAAACAATATTAGCTTTTGTTGTTATTCATGCTCTATCTCTATGTATATCATAGACGTGCGATCGATATTGACTGAAAATTATCCGACAGCTAACGCAAACGTAAATACATATAACCTAGTATGATACGGTGGTGTACAAATTTTGTGGAAATTCTATAGAGACATATAAAATGATTCCAAATTTTTGTTTATGTAATGATGGATTTTTTTCGATTATTCTGAAATTCTCTCAAAATTGTTTGTGTTATTTATAAAACTTTCGCTTTGTTTTTAATTTAAGACGATATAGGAAATATTATGCTGTACATTACTTTGTAAAACTCGTCTAGTTTACTTGACCGTAACGTTTTCGAGTTACTAAAATGGCCAATAAAATTGTTAGTACACAGATATGTTGCTAACACTTATTTTTATATGAGGTTTAGAGTTTCTATCAACATATTTATAACATAAAATTTAATTTATTTGTAAAGATAAACTTTTATAAGGATAAACTGAACGGTTATAATACCAACTTGTATTGATATTGGTCTAAGCACCCATTATCAAAGTACATCACACAATTACCAATAAATTATAAACGAAATTGAGTTTTTTTTTACAGATAAACCAGGCGTTAGAGTAAATGGTTATGATCATTCTTAAGAGTTTTTAAAAGAACCAACACCTATATTAATTCTCTTGCTTGCTAATGTGTGAGCCGATGCATAAATATTTTACGGACGTTGCGTCGTGCGATGTAATGGCTTTCTATATCTTCCTCTTTTGTTTTGTTTTTTTTTTGTTCTATCTCAGCCTTGTCATCTCGGCCAAACAATGAGTTATGATCGTCGGCGGAAGTATTAATTCACGGGTATCGTCGTCGCAACCCCGGCGGCGGCCCAAGTTGGCTCTTCGAGTAGACCGAGACGGTAACAAAGACAATTTTGTCATCCATCATCCGTGGCCGAGGGTTACGCGCCGTCCCCTTTGCCAGAACACGAAGAGGCCGAAAATGAGGAGAAAAATATTATATATAGTTGTAAGAGGGTAAGTATATATCACATAGCGATGGTATGTGCATGTATATTGTATTTACATATAGATTATGTATAGGCCATAATATATATATATATATGTATATATTGGCTCTGAACCGCTGTTGGATTCGTTCGTTTCGGGTGACGTGCACCATATTTGGCAAACCGTCAGCAAGTTTTTATATTACTCATGTGAGCGGGGTTTGGCCAGAGAAATGGGAAATGTGGGCACGCGTTATCCCAGTTATGTCCTGGGAATATAATTTGTCGTTGACGAACGGCACGGGGACGGTTTAGGCGAAATAGACGGATAAACTCGGTTATCGAGTTAGTCGAAACTTGGGACGAACACGGACCAAAGTTAATATTGGTTTACGGTTGGCAATGCGTTTTGCAAAAACGGTTAGCTTGTACATTTCCATACCGTATTCAATGTTATAACGAGTGATATCGTGTCATTTTTTTTTACGTTGTTCGCCATTATTTAAAATGTTTATACAATTAGTATTGTATTATGACGTTGTCGAAAATTTTAGTCTAGAACGCTTTTGCGATTTTAAAGGCGACGCCCTCGATTTTCTTTAGAGTATACCTTTTAGCCGTGTATACTAACTGCGAGACGTTAATATGTCACTGCGAGAGATCAATCAAATTTTACAAAGAGAAGGCGTGTATTGAATTAAGCTTCGAACTTGACTTATATCAGCTTCTTGAATATTGTACGTCATAATATATTTAATAAGAAAGGAACGTAGCTTAAAATGTATTTTAATATAGCGAAAATTATCTTTCTCTCGTGTACCAATAATATTTAATGAAAATAAAATACTACTAACAAACAACTAGTCTTTTTTATGCGCTAATGATTGGTAACATTGTTGCCAAAATACGTATGCGTTATAGAGAGTTATTTTTGCGGTAATATGTATAGGTTTTTAAAAATTGTCTTGTTTATGTACATATTCCGATTTGTTTTTTTTCACTTAAGTAAATAATTGAGATGCTAATTTTTCAATGATTCGAAATTAAATGTTTTGTACAATACAAAATCAGTGTAACGTCTCATGAAAGTTTTGGTAGCGCTTAAGTTTTCGTACATAGCATCGATTTAGAGACATATTCACTTCAAAAATGCATGTTTATTTAAAATAAATAATACCAACAATAAGTAAATAATAAGCATTCCTTATTTGTGATTCACCTTAGTGTATAGTGGACTGCCTTTTAGATTATCAACTTCACAAGAAAAAGATACTAAGTATATAGTCACAACGACATAACGATCTTGGACATGCACTTTTGTCTTTTTTTATTGGTAAACTTTAAAGGATTACTTGACCTGATAAGAGTACTTCTAGGAAAGAGTCAAGTTAGTCACTACAGATGGCTTTCCAATTGTCTAACGAACTTCAGTACAAACAATGAATAATTGGACAATCGGCTTAGAGAAACCAATCAATAAGAGCACTGAGCAACACATAGGATACAACTTTAAGAAAACTTAAGTTATACTACGAAGAAGTTGGAAATTTCTAGTAAAGGTACGCGTTGTAAACACTTTTTAAAAACATTTTTCCAAAAAAATATCTGAAAAAATAGTAATAGGTACTATTATTAATTCCATAAGTATATAATAATATTTTGCATTTTTTCTTTATGATAAGCAAGCATCCAAATAGGCAACTGGCAGCGGTTCTCCAAAAGCAGTCTTGTCAAGTACTTTAATAAGTGTCACATGACTAACACCATCAAATGCCTAGGTAAATTTGGCATAATATATAATGCCTATTTGAGAATGCAGAATGACGAATATGGTAAGATTTTATTACGTAGTTGACAATTACAATAACGAAGCGCTCTTTGATTATAGTATATTATTCACTAACACACTACAATAGAATGTATCAACATTCAACTAAAAATAAAAGAGACATAAAGTTAAATATTTTATCTAAAACTTCAATTATATTAAAATATATATTTATTTTTGGATCGAGTAATATGAATCATTAATAATAAAATATTAACATTATTGTTAGTATGTATAAGCGCTTTTGTATTTTTATCGATATTCGGATTTTTTTTGGAGTGGATTTTAAAGTATCATCATATTCAAAAGAAGACCTAGAATTTTATTAATTTAATAATCTATTGACCTTTTGAAGTGCGAGCAGACAGATAAAAGAAACATACAAAAACAAAATGCGAATATATTACGTAGGTCTAGATCTAAAACCCCCTAGAGACAAATATGTAAATATTACTTATAAAACGAAGCAAATAATTTCTTCTCGGTTAAATAAGCGACAACGGGCACAGCAATGAACTTGACACTCGCAACATCTCTAGACGAAATCGATATAGTTACGGTAAATAAATAATTTCACTATAGTTTTTTAATGTAGACTTGTTATATGTTTATTTGCTATTTATTTTCATTTTACTCAGTAAGTTTATTTACAGCTATACGCTTATACCTACCATTGGATTTTATAGAAATCTTGAAGAAATGAATACGACGATTATTACTATTGGAAATAAAATAGTTTTAAGACATGAATAAAAATTATTTTTATCCTAACACTGTACTGGCAAAAACGGGAAATTAAACGCTGAAAAAATATATTTTGTGTCCTTAACACAAAGTCACGCTAACATCTAAAGATTACATTGTGCTCTACACATCTTCGTGTGTATTTGTATCGCGTTTCAGTCGTTTGGCGGCTTTTATTTTCAGATTTCTTCTTGTATTAGGCGAGATTGGTTCGGGGTCACGTTTAATAAAAATGAAATAGGTTTCTAAAAATATAATGTGCTTTCCTCCCTTATTTAATGACCACTGTATGGTTGATCATTAAAATTGTACGATCATTGTTTGTACGTGAACAGCTTTAATTATTGTTATCCGACCTCACTGATCGTTAAACGAGAAGCTATGACTATAAACACTTAAACTTAAAATGATATCTCCAGTTAATGTTTCAAAGTTAGTAGAGTAAAAATAATATTACAAGTATACAAACCATACGATAGTTGTGCTCTATGCAATTAAAGCCGTTTGTATTACATTTTATAGCGAAACAAATAGCCTGAATTATGTGAACGCCATTTTTATTGAATTATTAAAACGTTATATTTTCAGACTTATTTTAATTATTCGTGGGGCGATAGCTAGGTACGACCGCTTTGTTCGAAGTTAGGCACTTTAATATGCACGACCGGTATTGGGTTGTTTAGACAACTGGCCGGAAATTTGGGCCACGCCTTCTTTACTACAACACATGTAATATTTATTAATGTGTTTTTTTTTTACCCTTAATACTATTTTACCTCTCGAACAACATTCCTATCGAGCTGAAAGCGCCATAAAATAATATTATATGTTTTAATATGTAAACGTTCGTGCATATGCATGCAGCAGTTATGTCGTGACTGATCGTGTTGTGTATTAACTAGTATCTCAGT